TTTCATACGAGGAAGAGCTCGATCATGCAACCGGCACAGTGCTTGACGGTGCGCGTATAGACCTTATTATATGCACAGATGATAACATCCCAGTTGAACAAGAGTAACACGCGATTATCTCCCACGTGGAGAATGTGCGACGGCTATAGTGAGAAGCGTTTCTCCAGAGAGAAAAAGAGAATAAGAGAGAGAAGGAAAGAGAGAGAGAGAGTTCGCTTCGCTGGGCGGATGCGACATAGCTGCGGCAATGAATCTTGTATGTTTATTTCCGAAATTCTGGGTCAAGTTCTTGTTTGTCCGAAAAGTAGCTGTTTGCTCGCGGCGAGTTAACAATGTTCTTCCTCAATTTCGCCCTGAAGGCGAAAGCGCTTCACGCTTCGGAGATTGACGCGGATTCGTACGCATTCGTTGTAACGGTGACTTTTGATAGCCGACGGATTTCACCTCGACTCAGAAATCCAAGCGGTTGAATTATTTTTATTAGTGAGAGATCTGGGACTTTTTGAAACTAAGGAATCTTAGTAGGAACATGGCACATGGCTATAATAGAGATGTCGGTAATAACATTGAATGAATTTTTCAGCTGGGCAGTTTCCACGGTAATGACGAGGCAGAACCTGGTTCCGAGTCCCGATGGTGCACGCATGATACACGCTTTAATCCCGATGTGGGATATGTGCAATCACGAGAACGGAAGGGTAAGTCATGGAGATAATGAGCCTGGCGTGGATGAGCAATGCGTTTTCTGTCATTACTATAGATTACGACGGACTTCAACGCGACTTCGGATCGCTGCGAGTGCTACGCGTTGAGGGACTTCAAGAAAGGAGAACAGGTGTTCATAAGTTACGGTCCGAGAACGAACTCCGATTTCTTTGTGCACTCGGGCTTCGTCTGCATGAATAACGAACAAGTATGTATATTTATTTATTTAAAATTTATGTAATAAACAACATTAGTCTGTTGCTAAAGAGTTTAATATTGGAATAATAAACTGTGAAGGCAACTGATGTCTAATAATATTTTTTGCTACGAAGAGAAATCAGCGTCGATTTTATCAAAGAATTTATAGCGAAGAGCGAATTTCACAATGCGAGTCTCTATAATACATTATTTACAAAGGCATGTTGCAATATGATATGTTACAGGATGGTTTTAAGCTTCGTCTCGGTATTAGCAAAGCGGATTCTCTTCAGAAAGAACGAATAGAACTATTGAGCAAACTGGATTTACCGTCAGTAGGAGAATTTTTACTGAAACCTGGTACGGAGCCCATCTCTGATACGCTATTAGCCTTTTTGCGAGTGTTCAGCATGCGAAAAGCTGAGCTCACACATTGGTTACGCTCGGACAAGGTCTTCGACCTGAAGCACGTGGACTGTGCGTTGGAGACAGTCGTCGAGGAGAATGTCAGAAAATTTTTGCTGACCAGGCTGCAGCTTTTAATCGCTAATTATCCGACAACATTGAAGGTGAAAGTGAAATCTGATGTTGCGCCGTCTGCCTTTACTCTGCCTTCTCTGACGACCGCACGCTATTAATCAACACGAATATTTCTGTCTTTTTTTTACAGGAGGATCTAGAGTTACTGGAGACCACGTTGCCGCAGATGAAAAAGATGGCAGTTCAATTAAGGGTCACAGAAAAGAGAATTCTTTCGGGTGCACTCGAATACGTAGAGCAATGGATAAAGGCTTAAGATAATCGGCTGTGGTTTGGCGAAGGTGTTGAACATATATACTTACGATTAAAAGCATTTCGAGAAAAACCAACTTTATTTTTACAATAATTCCGAACGATTTCGAATATAAAAGTAAAATATATATATATATATATTATATAATGGACGAATTATATGTAATAAAGCGTATATTTATCATCTGTTAAACATGCAAACTCTTCATGTGGTCGACGTGTGCGCGCGTACTAATTATAAGAAAAAAATGTATTGTAAAATATATTGAGAATTATATGAATGATCATATATGTACGTCTATGTAATATATAATATATGTAATTGTATAATAACCATCTAATTTTTTGTCAAAGTTTGAATGAGGATGAAGGAGTTACCACTCTCTGGTCCAGTAATAGAAGATAACTAATTCTAAGATTATATTGTTCAGATCACTGAAGATGGCTCAGAGCGAAGCCGAAACGTCTGAAATATTATAATAAGTATTATTTTAACAAAATATTAATTATTAATTCGCACCCCAAGTACCGCTGTTTGACTCTCATTAGCCCGTTTTTATTTGTAATTTGACAATTCTCGAGAGTTCTATTTTTATATTATTTTATTTATTATATAATAACTGTGTGCTCAGCAAATATCTTAATTGTTTTCGTAGAATGGAGATTTTCAATAAGCTTCTTCGTATTTATTCTTTCTAAAATTACCGAATCAAATGCCGATCATTAGAGAGAATGAGAGATCGAATGTAATTCTGATCTATGGTTATCAGAATTGATATTTTACTTGCTCTGCTTGAGATATATATATATATATATATATATATATATATATATACATATAACATTTAAAAAGAAAAGATATTCATACAAAAGAGAATATTGATAATGAATATTTATTTTCCAAAACGAATACATAACAGAGCTGAAATTCTTGATGTGAAACTATAATAGTGTAGGCCTACGACATTAGACTTACATACGCCGTAAAATATGTATTTCCTGACGCACGAGTGAATTTGAACGACCCGCGTAAATACAACCCTGCGAGGTGTTTCCGAGCGTTTATGCATTATAAATTGTGTTTAGCCTCGTGATCTTGTTACTGTATACGTTACGAGACGATAATAGTATCGCGCATCTCACGCGTTGATTAAATCTCTAGGAAATGCCAGATTTCGTGAAACGAAATTAATAAAAGTTAACGAAGCTAATTGTAGCGAGATGCTATGATCAGGCTACAGCAGGACTGATAGCTCGGAATAACGCTTTTTTAAATATATTTCAATATAGAAATAATTGAAAGAACATTACATAAATAAGTATACGTTATTTAACATGTACGTAATATATGCGATGCGATTTTAAATCTATAATGTGATCAACTATACTTTCACAAGCTGTAAGAAAATTTGTTGCATCTGCGATGCAATTTTTTGAACGAGTAATTCGCATAAAATGTGATAGCGGAATGTATTTACAAATTTAATTTGTATCGACGTGCGTTGCTCAGAAAATTCAGGAACACAAAACGGAAAGTAAAAGATTGCAGGTGAAATTTCGATTTTATGAAAATAAAACTCGTAATGTACTCATCATGTAATCAACAAAAACGAAGAAATAAAAGATATAATGTTAATAAATTATTTTTTAAATTAAATTTATCATATTACATATATTAAATAATTTAATAAATAATAAAAGATAATAAAGGACTCTTGATATAAATATAAACAAAAAGTAAAGGGATGTTGTAAGTCATAAGAAATAAAATTTAACATGATAAATAAAACATAAATGTCACATATAATAAAAAGTCATCTTACAAAAATTTTCAAGATACATTCATCTACATATTTTAATAGAAACGCATTTTCAAATTAACTTAACGTTTCAGCTCTTAAATTGAGCCTTCTTCAGAAGTGATCATAAATATTTGAAATTAATATAACTGGATTAATCTTGGGTGTCCATCTCCGTGACATGACATTGTTCACCATGCGATTGAAAGATTGAAAGCAAGGAATAGACAGCTATTACGTGAAATAAGTTAGATCAAGTAAGAAAAAATTAAAATAATAAATATCGATCATAATACGTTATAACTTTGTCATACCTTTGAAAATGGACATCATTGTTCAGATCTCTAACAAGAAAATAAAAATGTAATGTACTCATTACTCAGATACGTCACTATATGCGTTTGTTGAAGTTATTTAACATTATTGTAGAACTCAAAACTTAAAAACGATAAGTCGTCTGTCTTAAAATTGAATATGTTAATATCTTGAATGTTCCGATGATAATTGAGCCAGGACACAAAAAAAATGACAATATTAAACTTTCTTTATAATTGGAAGATATGCTATGTGGAGACCTTCTGTATCGGTTTTTGTAAGTTAAGATTGTTATTCTGTCTTTTTATATTAAGCATCTCCGAGACCAAACGTTTTCTATAGCACGGTTCTTCATCTAGAATTTCAATTTCATCCCAACATAAATATAATTTAATAAAGAAAATTATATTTAAAATCTCAAATGTTGACAGTAAAATATGGAAAAATTTTTTTCAGAATTCTTATTTAAACTTTATTCTCATTTTTGCAGAACAAATATGTCAATAATTACTACGCATAATATATAAATCTACATATATAGTAATTATAAATTCTACAAAATGTTTCTTTAACATACTAACAAAAACACAGTGAATTATTGAAGAATGAAAAGTAAATTTATAAAATCGGTTAAGCACCACAATTGTCATAGTTCCTCTAAAACTGCTTTTGCAAAATGGATCATAATCACAATTGGAATTTTCAACAATTACTTGAATGTGTTCCTAAATTTTCTGACGAACATATAGAGAATTCAATTACACTACTCCGCATTGATGCATATTAAAAATTGTAAAGGAAATTATCCAAATGTAAAGATAATTTGTGATTAATGAAAAATACAACATATTTAAAATATATACCTGGTATTTCTCTCTCACACACACATCGATTAATATTAAAGTTACTAGTTTTTAATAAATTTTTTATAGTAATTTTAAAAGTTTTTAAATAATTTTAAGTGTAATGCAGTTTTTAGTATATCAGTGCGAAGTAGTTCGAATTCGCCACTAGATTCATCAGAAAATATCTGCTATTGCAATCATTTCATAACTATCCGTTCTGTACCTATTTTCTCCTTATCTATTTTCATCATTACTAATATATGTTTAATTATCATTGATATATTTTACTTAACAGATAAAGACAGAAGAATGTGTAACATGTTCTATGTAAAATTAACGTTCTGTGGTATAAATTGATATCAAAATCTGAAGCAAACGATACATTTTTAAAAATAGCGCATGAGTTATATCTATAAACGGCACTTACAATTGTATCAGTTTTATTTCGTAGTCCGACTTGAGTATCACTATTACGAGAATGTTTGAAATATTCGATAAAGGCTAACGACCATTCGCAGGTAAAGTTTGTTGCTTTCATTTTCACGATTTAAACTCAAGTAATATTTTGTCTTTATGACGGATCGTAGAGGTCGGTTTCCTGTTGTAAAGAATCGATTTCATTGTCATAGTAGCTGTCGGAATCTTTAAAATCAGGAACTACAACAATATCGATAGCGTCCCCCTTCAATTCGTAAGCGTCGTCTTCCATCTCCTCTTCTTCCACTTTTACATTCCCCACGCTGTGGTCCTCGGTGAGATGCGTAAGAAGAGGGGGTAAGGCGTAAAATATTTTGTCACATAGATTACATTGAAACGTCTTGCCATCGACGGCACGTAAACAATGCATGTAATCTTTCATGGGCTGATAAACTTTTCTGTGTAGGGCCATATGTTTCTCATGGTCCATGGAGAGAATAAATTCGTAAGAACAGATAGGACACTTTAGGTTGTGCTTCGTCCACATTGTATGTATCTTCAGTCGATGAAGACTCTCGTAAACCTCGCCGCAAATGGGACACTTGAGGCATATGTGATTTTCCAGGGTCTCTGTATTCTCGTACATACCGCTACATTCGTTGCATTGATACGACTTTTGCTTCTTGCAGGTATGCTTGGACCAGTGTTTTTCCAGTTGAGCCAAAAGATCGAACATCAATTCGCAAACCGTACAGACAAACATTCCATGATGATCGCGCTTCACGCCGCACTCCAACAAGCTGATCGAGCACTGATAGTGCTTTTCATAGTTGTCCTTACGCAACAAGCTCTCATTGCAGGACTCGCATTGGTTTTGATGCTTGGTCAAGTGAGCAAATAACATTCCGGGCTCTGCGTTCGAATAATTACAAAAATTACACATGTAACTCTCGGCCGTCATATGCAGATGTGAGAGCAAGTGCCTCTGATACGTATTCGGACTGAAGAACGTAGAGCCGCATGCGGGACACTTCAAATAGGGTCTCTTTTTATCTGTATAGTGCAGGGAGAGAGGATTTAACTTCTTTCCCCATTTCTTGTCCCTTTTCATCTTTTCCAAACTGTCGTACGTGACAAATTCAATTTTAGGTATACGTTCGTGCTCCTCGGAGGACGTGCTTTGGCTGGTTTCGTCCTGTGTCACTTGATCGCTGTTAGCTACGTACTTCCGCAAGTATACCATCTTGTTATAACTATGCTTCCACCTGCCATTCTTTTGATTCTTAGAGATTTTATGCATACTCTGTTCAAGCAACTCCTCCATCCTCATTTCTGTGTTCAAGGGAGGCATTATAATGTAATTGTCCTCGTTGGATACAGATGGTTCGATCTTGCAGGACACTTCAGAGGGATCTTTCGTGAGGTACAACAGATCTAGCGGTGTCTCCTCCTCTTCTTGAGGTTCCACCTTAGGAACTGCCTCCACGCTGCTGCTTCGTAATTTTCGTCCACTGCTACTGACATGCTTGCTCTTCCTGTGGCCCTTGCTCTTCTTCTCCTCCGTGGTCTTCCTCGTTTTGTTGGGTACATTCTCGCTCTCGATCTCATCCAGCTTCAACATCCTGTCAGTCTTCAAGTCGCGTCGCCTCATCGACGCGTTACACAATCAATAGGACGGGTTACGCGTGTTTACAATTGTCAGACGTTGTGACATAACCTGATACCTTGAGGTGTCCTATTAACAGACGGATGTGAGAAAACGTGCGAAAATCTCGCCGATCCTGCGGATACTTGGTTCACGTACTTACGTGTCGCGATCAGTCGCATAGTCGACAGCACAGCCCTGGTTGTGCTTCACGACGCGCTGTCACATTGCACCCCCGGGCATTGATTTTTTCGGGATCCGGATTTCTCCGGACGCATGGCCGTCCGCTGTCCCAGGGTGAAGAAGCCTTATAGAAACACGGCGTTCCGACTCTCGTAGCTCGTTCAGGAAAACAAATATACGGGAAACCCTGGCGTTTCTCTCCCCTGATAACGCTGGATCAGCTGTTCTACGAAACGGACGTGAGAGAGAGAGACCGAACGATGTCGTTCGCCATGCCGTAGCGTCGCTTACCGTCCTCGCGTTCCGCTTTCAAGAGTAGAAAGGGCTCGATAACGGATAACGGGCCGTGGTAGCTCGCGCCGCGAATCGATGTGAAAGAAAGAAAGGAAGAAAGGAAGGAAGAATATGCTCGATGTGATCTCTTTGCCTTCTCCTTCCCTCTGACAACACACCCAGACCGATAGTGCCCGGATATTCGCCTATTTTGTTTTAAACGAACTTCCTGTTTGTCGGGAAAGAGGAGGATAGGCAAAGACGTTATGCGATTTCTCCCGATTTGCACAGATTCTTCTTAATGTTTATTCTCGTTAATTGTAAATTATGAGATAAAATCGCATTACTTTTTTTTGGTATATTATATAGCAGTTAAAATCGAAGTTTGATGTTTTTAGTGCGAAAGTATATCTCTCTCTCACTCTCTCTTTCTCTCTCTCTCACTCTCTCTCCTCTCTCTCTCTCTCTCTCTCTCTCTCTCCCCCCTCCCCTTTCCTCTCTGGCTTTTGTTCTCTCTCGTCCCCTCCTTGACTCTCTTGCTCTTTTTCTTTCTCTTCTCATTCTCTTCTCTATCTCCTTTTCTCTTCCTTTCTCTTTTTTTTTGCTTTTCGCTACATATACAGTGTCTTTCAAAGATTTTTAATTGCAAAGCTCTATAAAATACGACACGCGCGTACTTATATGATATTACACTATAAATTTTCAAAACGATATCAAGACATCAAAATGACGTCAAAATTGCTGCAAGAGGATTATTAAAAATTATTTTTAGATCAATCACATTATTTTAACGTCATTTTATTGACTATCTTGATCTTGCCTAAGAGTCATAATTAATTAAGTTTATTAAGTCAATTATAATGATATCGCAAAATGTCATCATGACGTCATGATAACGTTCTGCGATATCACATTTTGCGTTCTACTTCGCACTACACTATATATTTCTAAAGCTACGGCCTATTTATATTTTATTATCGCATTAGAAGAAAATTATTTTAATTATAAGACAACTATTTATCTCGATCGTTAAACTATATCTGCTATATTTTATTATGCGAGAGGGATATATGTACGTGGTCTGTCTCTTGACGACGGAAATGCGTTAAAAGAAAAACTAAAGAACTGCGCGTGTAAATAAGAATTACGGAAAAGAAAGAAAGAGATGCAAAAAGCATTTAATCTTTCAAACTCTTAGCTTTCTCGAGACTCTTCAAAAACGTATAAAAGCGTTAAAATATTTCTAGACTTGCGCATTCCGAGCGCATTCACGCCACGACTTTGAGCGAAGCGTATAAGAAACCTCCGCTATATCATTATACTCTCCACAAAGCCCTCGATGTACAAATCCAAGAAGATCCTAAAGAATATGTATAATTGCAAGATATTTAAATTAGAATTCTTCCTTTTATTCTACTAAACTTCCCTTAAAATTATGTACATATAAACGAACAGTCGCACGATCTATATATCCCTTGATTTTACATATATACATTTCAACACGACCCTCCGCCCTCTCTTTGCTCGAGTCAGATCCTGTCAGTCTTCCTCTTTTTGTGGTCGTGCCCATGGGCGAGATGATCGACATGGGCATCGTGGTAGTCATAACCGTGGCCATAGCCGTGCTCCAGCACGTGACCATGGCCGGTGCCATGGGTGAAGGGAGCGATGCCGTGGACGCCGTGGTCCAAGTGCTCCAAGTGCACGGCAATCGGCGACGGGTGCACGTGAAGATGATCGGGTGCGTAGCCGCGCGCATAGATGGCACCAGCATGATCGCCAGATGGGATCAGCGGAAGCAGCGGGGGCGGTAATGATTGCAGCGGAAGCAGCGGGGGCGGTAATGATTGCAGCGGAAGCAGCGAGGGTGGTAACGGCTGCAGCGGAAGCGATGGGGGTAGTAACGGTTGCAGCGATAGCGACGGGGGTGCCAACGGCTGTACCGGAACCGGGATCGGCACCGGAACCGGCACAGGTACTGGATGCCTCACCGGGACTGGATACGGCTGCTGCACGGGCACTGCAATCGGCTGCTTCACCGGAATGGGCACTGGACGCTCCACGGGGATTGGCACCGCCTGAGAATTTCCCAACAGGAATTAATAGAAATGGAAGAAAGAAAAATATGAAGAATGCATTCATAGTCAGCCCTTGTACATTTAAGGCTACCTTTTTATATCTTCAGATGCTCTACGATTCATTTTATTGGCTGCTAAACGTTTAAAGATAAACTTATGTAGAAAGCCTTAAATACCTATAAGATTAAGTTTATCTTTAAATGTTTCTACAAATGCTCAAGTAGAACTCATAATAATATTATAATGACGTCAGCATGATCTTATTTGTTATATATAAATTTATTTTTAAATATTAAATAACGTCATAATGATGTCTTATGATATCATTGTGATCTTTGCTCGTTTCTATCAATAAGAGATTAATTTTAATCTCATTAATTTAACTTACTCTTTGTCTTTTTCTATAATAATTCTTAGAATTACAAAAAGATAAAGAGAGAGTTAGTTTAAACCATTATTAAAATTGAACAACTTATTTTAATTCTTTAATTTCTCACTGAATCTATTATAAATGTATAAACCAATTAACATTAAAGAATCTTACAGTTGCTTTTTCTGCTGAACGCAGCCATTTAGAGATAATTTTTTAAGTACTATAGATTACACTTCAGCTTCAAATTATAATTAATGAATGAAAAGAGGTTTTTTCTGAAAATAAATTTCTAAAATGTTGCTGAATGAAAATGATATTCTACATTATAATATAAATTAACTTTAAGTTCAGAATATTAATTAGTTTAAAATATTTACTTATCAATACAATTTAAATATTAAGAAATTTCCACGAGTTTTTACATTATTTTCTGCAAAAGTATTATAGAAAAAAAGATATCGTTGTTAACAGACTTTGCGTGCTGTTGAAAGAAAGTAAAATTGTCGAGACGCTACCTGAGGTACCGGGATGGGAATCGGGACTGGTTTATGAATAATCTTCTCGATCGGCACTGGCACGTGATACGGTTTTTCTATGATTACCGGCTCCGGAATTGGCACCGGCTTTTCCAGCACCACGTGCTTCGTTAAGTATATTGGTACAGTTTTCACAATTCCGGGTGTTAAGGCGATGCCACTGCTACCATAAGTTGCACCTGCCAGAGGCCTGTTGATTGACGTAAAATATTTGTAAATATAATGGTTAACGTCATTGTTATTTTAGATATCCTGTACCTTAGGAAGGGTATTATAATTTTTTAAAGTTTATTATTCACAAAATGAAGGAATATAATTTCTGAGGAAAAAATAATCCTTCGAAAAATATTTATTATTGCTGTATGATGCTCATATAATTTTTAATATTTTAAAAAACTTATTTTACAATGGTAAAACTTAACGCGAAGTGTTTATACAATTTATAGAAGTTTACTCTAAATTGTATAAATTTTATTTATTATTTTCAATAAGTGTATTATTTTTACCCTGTGTGCAGATTGACTTCAGGAAGTCTGAGTCCTTTCCAAGGGCGGTCGATTGACCACGGTCGTCCATGTCCATAAGGGCCCGAGAGACCGATCCATCCATCATTACCGATGACACCCCGTTTTTGTTTCGTGTTATTCGGCACCGATGCGAATACGCAGGTGCATAATAATGTCAGGAACAGCTGAAATACAGCACTAACGTAAAGAAGTTCAAATTCTATAAATTATTATAAATATAATATAAATTAATGCCTTACAAAATTTTTGATTATTCAATGCATTGTACAAATGGTAGGAGAATTAAAAGAATTTAATGAGGAGTACTTGAGAGTTTTAATTTAAAAAAAATTGTACAATTTTTTTTTTTATTTAGAACCTAGAATTTATGTTTATACTTTAATTTCGATTACACAACTTAAATGAATACGTGCGGCTACTTACAAAGATCTTCGACATTGCGCTCCAGTCGCGAACAAACTGTTCATAAGATCGCAACAACAGAAGCCTTTTATATTTGCGAATAGTACCAATGACGACTTAACAGGTCCATATCAAGGAACAGATCAAGTTCCCATTTATGATCAAATCGGAAACTTACCCTTCTTAAGTATCGATTACCCCAAGCTTCCGGTGATGAAAGTTGTTTGCGATCGATTTAGTTTGCGGTGACATTTCGAAATAATGTCATACATGTGAAGCCTCGATTCGTATAGCTAATAATGGAACAAGCTAATAAACGCATCACGCATATCACAATAAACACTAATTTATATTAAGTCATACTATTCAATTAATAAAATATAATTAATATTAAATTACCTAATTAATATCGAATTCTTATACATGCATAAGTTATTGTTATATTAATCCCTTTAGACTTAATGGAACTATTTTTTATTAAAAATTTATTTTTAATTTAATTCAAGGGCATTTTAATGAAAGTTATTCATATTGAAAAATTAAATTCTTTTATTTTTTATATTTTTCCAATATATACCAACATATATTTCCAACATTGTTATGTTTATCTGGTCTCAGATGATGTTGATGAATTAAATTTTAGTGGCTAATGTCTTTTCAAATTTGATATACATTACAATACACGCTGAAGGAGTTAGATTTTCAGTAATTAAATTTGATCTATTAAATAATACTGAGTACTATTTACTATAATATTAAAGCAAGTGCAACTATGTCTTTTGCCAAGAACGACACCAGTTTCTCATTCGATTACGGGCTCGTGCTCGCAATGTTGACATTGCAATTACATTCGACGATCAAAGCACCCGTATACTACTTACCTACATTCTCATACCTATTTAATTATGCTTGGAAACGCACTTCCGCGCGCACGTTCGGTGAAAAGGAAAACGTCTAAGAATTCTGCGCCGCGCGTTGTCGTTTATAAATGTCTGCATGAATGATAAATAAACCCTGATAACAAATGCAGCAGCTAATTCTCAGCCGTGATACTCCGGATTTTAGCAAATTCTAAATTAACAATATCTGTCTTTTTCATTATTATTTTCTGTAAAATGAGTATTTTTTTTTTAATATTCATTTGTAATCTTAAGGAATTCGAGGAATTGTAGTTCTTTTTCTCACAGATCAAAAAATGATAGTTTGTTTTTCTGGATTTTTCCAGATTTCTTATTTTAAAAATGTACAGGGAACATTCTTGAAGTAAGTACTCGATGATAATTATATTAGGAGGAGTTTCCTATCTTAAGATACATATAATCTTTTATCCAAAGAGATATATTCCTGAAGTAAATAATAACCACATTTTTTTATCTCTCTCTATGTAGATAATATTAACATGTTAACTTTTTACAAATTTTATCGATAAAAACAATCAAATTTCGTAACCAAAAGGGCACCGTTTTGATTCTTCACGACGTTAAAATAAAGTCATTTTGATTTTTACTTGACTTGGTGTGATCCTTGGATAGACTTTTAGAGGTTTATAAAACAAATAAGAGGAGGACTGTTCAAACAGCGAATGTTCTTCTCGTCTTTTTTTTATAATATTGTTTTCTTGTTCTCGAATGTTAAGTTGATTTTTTGTTGTACTTCGCGTACGTGTGCATTCTGCTAATTCGCACATTCGTGGCTAGTAAATCTTGATTGGTCAACGTCATCGGGTGTATTATTACGTGTTCGCCGGCTTTAACTCGTCGATGAATAATGAATGGCGAGTAACATGGCCGACATTAGGAACGCGACGGCATTAGGTGTTTAGAAAATGAAAGTTAGGAAAGTCCTCGCGATTAATGCGGAAGAGGAAAACTCGCCCGTCTCGATCTTGTTGACCGAATAAAGGATGAAGAGAACGCTGAAAGAAACTAGAATTGTTATTTGTATTTGCTGCCGCATATCTTCATCTCTCGCTGTTGCGCAAAACCCATGAATTACATCAACGATAATTCACGCATCAATTCCTTAAAAACATTCCATACTAACTTTTTGTAGCCACTTTTATTTGCACAACGGACAATAATGCGTTACTGATTAATTATTTAATTGCAGTAAACTCATTTATTATCAATGATTCATATAACGAATTGCATTATCTGGCCCAATTTAAATAGTCTATAATTCATATAAGATTTTAAAATAAAATTATAAATTTTTGTCCATGTAATTTATAATATGTATTTTTTAAATGCTTTTTGTATCATAGAGTATACAATTAAATACACGGAGCATAAAATTGTAGATAAAGTTATATCAATTATCTAAAGCTAATACATGTTTTTATAATCTAATTACTGATGCAATACGTTTTGCGCAGATCAATTCCAATCATGTACCATGTGATTGAATTGAATCACGTATCGCGCGCTATGGCGGCTATCTAATGATCGGAAGACCAAATGATTACCGATAAACCTTCTATTAATTGCGCCGCTAATATATGCTCCAGGATTTTTCGTGCCTCATATCGTCTTTGTTCGACCTCCTAGGAGAGAAATACAATCACTGTTTGGCTGCCGTCCAGGTTCAGGTAGCGAAAGCATATCGCTCCTTAGAATCGCTCCTCTTCTTCGTTCGGACAATGATGCCGTATAAATATGTATATATCAGGTCACAATTCCGGAGCGAACTCAGTTTTTCGTTGACATCCCGACCGGCAACTGAAACTCTTAAGTGACCAATCATGAGGCTCTTCCTGGTACTTATCCGAATTTTCGTTTTTATTTTCTTACATGGAAAGGACAGAATTGCTAAATTGTCTAAAAATGTAGTTACATATTTAAAAATAATTTGGTTGATTAATTAAAATAATTACATAGAACGTTTAAATGTTGATATGACAATTCTGCAAAAAGTTTTAACATTTTAGTGACCAGTTTGAGCGTTTTATGTAATATTTGATAGTCTAAATAAAAAATTATTTTCAAATCTGTGTTTAACTAAATTTTTAGATATATTTCAGCAAAACCATTTTTTCCGTGCATCCTCGATAATCCGCGTGATTTATATTCGGATACATCGCGACAAAAAATGGAGAATATTGTTCTCTAGTCAGATTTCTTATCTATCAAAAATATAATCAGATTTTTATTTTTCAAAATGTTGTTCATGTGGCTACATACATCTGATTAGGACGCTGTTAGATTTTATAAAATAAATTTGTTTAAAGTGATTTGTCCGAGAATTCTGTACAAAAACGTAAATTACTCGACATGACTTTTCGTCACGTTTTTACGCAGGTAACAATGCTGGTGTTGGCCAGCAGTTTAGCCGTTCCCGTTGACAAGAATTCAGAGAAATTGCAGAACATTTCAGAGGCAAAGAGACATGGGAAAAGAAACGTAGATTGCACGGATGGATTGAGTATACATGTATATTGTCCACCGGATTACGAAGTTCCAGAACCGTCACCCATTATTCAACAGCAAGTCGGTAAGTTAACATAAAGTTTTATTGATCTTGAACGTATCTTAAAATTAAAGCACGTTGATATAATTAATGTAATTTCGTAATAATATTTAAATTAGTTTAATTAGAAGGAGCCGTTCATATATATAAATTACCGTTTCTCAATGTTTTAGTTTTGTGTATAGTGGAAAGAAAATATATAATTTTATTTACCTGCTTTCAATTTATTTATTATATATAATTAAATCTAGTGTTGCAATTAATGTATATATATTAATGGACAGTATAGACACATCTGTGAGAAATGTCTTCGTATTCTTGTCCAGTGCATGTTCCTGTGCCTGTGCCTGTTCCGCATCCGGTGCCGCAACCGATACAAGTGCCCGTAGCAGTACCGATTACCAAGCACATTCCTGTGCCGGTCCCTGTCGATCGCCCCGTGCCGGTACTTAAACCGTATCCCGTCACCGTGGAGAGGATCGTCCCTGTGGACCGATTAATCCCGGTGACAGTCGAGAAACAGGTGCACGTCCCAATCGATCGAGCGGTGCCGGTGCCGGTACCGTATCCCATTGAGAAGGTCGTGCATATAAATCGGCCGTATCCGGTAGCAGTGCCAAAACCATACCCAGTGCCGGTAGCAGTGCCAAAACCGTACCCGGTGTTACCGGTCCCAATATTAAAGTACCGCAATCCCAAATGTTGTTTGTAACAACAATTGTATTGTAATTTGTAACAATAAATGTACTCTCTGTAGCACACTCGTCGAATTTTATTTTAATCTAATAGTGATACTATATTTTCGCTGATATCGTAACTTAACGTGTCATTGTAATCTTTTAGTTACATAAGCGCAGTTATCTTGTTGTTGTTATAGATTTATTATTAATAATTAATTATTTGTTAATTATTATTTATAATTAATCTTACCTCTGACTGAAATGTATCTTAAAAAGTGATTACTGCATCAATGAGCTTTTGAATGCGTCTGTTTCTGTTTATAATAATAAACAACACTAAAAAATTTACTTCTCAGATATTTGTACCCTTACTGAGATTCTCCTATTTTTCCGTTACTCATTGTTACAAATTTTACGTAAAGAAAAAGATCAAGGAGTAAAATAAATATTCTTCTAAAATCCGTGTTTTTTTTAAGTCGAATAAATATTTTTCCAAATTTTATGTTTCTGAGCAACCTTGAGAACCGTGCTATTACCACGTGTAAATGGCATGAACTTGTTCTATTAGTAAGTATCTTTATCATGATTAATGCAGTAATAACATATGCGCACTGAGCATAGTTACAAGGTGAGAACAATTTATTTATTCACGTATATGCCCAACAGAAAAGTTCATAAACATTATTCATGTTCGTGCTTTTTAACTACAGCGCATGATTAATGGTATGTTAAATTAAATTATACATTTTATATAACATTTGTTTTGCAATGAATAATATTTAATATCTAGATATACTTTAAAATTATTAAAATATCACAACAGTGCAACATAATTTCTATTTCAGAAACTTTATCAATGCTAGAATAAGATCATTTAAAAAACGATGACTTGTAAGACATTGGGCGTGTTCAATGGACAAGGCAACTAGCCTACTCGCCAAGCGATTGAATATGATTGATTCTTAGTAAAATCTTTTTACTTATACATAGATCCAATCAATCATTCACATTCAACCGCTTGGCGAAGAAACTAACTGCTTTTGTGAAACACAACCATTTCTTTTTAATCGACATCATAATTGAAATTAATATTTCATATATAAAATTTTTTTATTTAAAACAATAATTATATATAAGAAACAGACTACATATTTTGTTTTATAATGATTATCAAAATCAAAAAGGTCAGTAATATACAGAAAATCACAAACGTAATTATCTGAATAATAATAACGCTTTTAATAATAATAGTAAGTTTTACTGACGTGCAAGATATAAAATTATAAACGATGAACCCCCAATATAAATTAAAGTTGCATCTCAAAAGGTAGGCATGAGCGATAATATTGTTCGCAAGCCTAGACCTTGTTATAATTAATTAAGTAACTTTAAAATGGAAAAGTAGTGGAAATGGAGAAAATGCCTCCTTAACAATGCGAGAAGCATAAATAATGAAAAATTTGACGTATTAGTTGGTTATCATGCTGGGAACAAGTTTTAACAGCCAATGAAATGCTTTTGCGTGTCTTAACTTAGTCCGGTCCGTGTTTGCGCATCGAGCGATGGGTAGGGAAAATGTCGTGTCTACCTCCTATGATCGGAAAAGTATACCGATGGAGGCGGTAGGGAAAGGTCGCGATTTCCACGTAGCGGCTCTCATGCATTGTTGACGAGCGAATTGCTAGGCGAGGCGTTGTGCGGTACTACCGCTCGTTGTTAGGAAGCATACATAATTCTACTTTTGCCTATATAAGTCTGAGAATTATATTTTTCAGTGATTTCCGAAGAATTTGCGAATTTTCAGCTACTGATCGATTGAAATAGACTTTTTGATGTAGATTAATAGAGAGATATAGAAAGATTAGTTGAAATATATTAATTTATACTGTCTTCAATGACTATAATATAATTTATGCCTTCATTAATCATACTGATTATTTTTAATCGATATTAAATATAAAAAAATAAATACAAAAATTTAATTATATCTTTTTATAACTTATGTTTGGAAAAAATTATTATTTGCTGCTGCTATTAAATGTATATTCATTAGAACTTGATTTACATAAAAGTGAATAAAAGTAATTTGGAGATTGTTTAACTCGATTTCTGCAATTTTATATATTATAATAAAATATTTTTATTTACATTTACATTTCAACACAAACTTAAGCCGTAAAAAATAAATTATCATCTATTATCATACAGAAGAATTAACAATTGTTTTTGGAAATAAATTGTTTAGAAAGCAGATTTCAAATTTTTGAGATTGCGAGGGAGATAATCGAACAGCACGATAGTTAAGAAGAATAAGAAGACTACTATACACGATCTCAATATATCAGCGATCGTGTGAACAAACACGATGGTTTCTTGGTTATCGATCACCATTCACCGATCCGTAAATAAAACGAGAAAACACATGGACGTTCTCGCCCTATGTCATCCGAGAAAAGGTTCTATATGTCATCTGTCAGATCATTATCTCGAAAGAAACCCGTAACCCCGTTAGAGCGAACCGCTATCTCTCTGCCATCACAGCTCTCAGTATCAGTTTAGACAGGTAGATACGTGGATTTTCTCTCTTTCGGTACGAAACGCGAGTGTTTCACCTCTGCAAAGAGGGATTTTGATCGCGATCGTACGTTGGTGCTCAGTTTCTCACACAAATAATTTGGCGACCGCTCGTAATTGCAAAAAATATCCACTCTGATCCGAGTTTCATGGTGTAATAAGATAGTTACAGTGTAGATTATTTATTTGTTTATGTAACGTCGCATTTACAGAGAAGAGAGTTTCTCGTCGATTCAATATGACACAGATATACGATGTTATCCAGTTGTGATTCAATTATACAGATTACCAAATAATTTAAAATTATAAACACAGGTGTAGGTTAACCAACGAAACAGAATGTAAAAATAAAATTTTATAATTGTCTAATAATTGCATTATCCTTTGTAATTAATTATCAATATATAAAAATAAAAATTTTTGTATATTAATAATTAATTAAACCTCGCAGGTATTGAATTTATTTTTTTTTCTTTAATTCCTTTAAATGACTGTAATAATAATTTAGCATGCTAACAAATCTAATTATTGCATAAGAAAATATTAATTTATAATGTTTAACTTAATCAAGATTGTATGCAGCAATTTAACTTATAATAATTATGTACTTATATATTTTATGTAACATTGAAAAAATGATCCGATCGGAATCAAAACGTTTATTTTAATATAATGTTTATATCATGATTGTTTAAATTAAATTTGTTTTGTTAAATTACTTGGTTCTTTGCCCTCTTTATATTTATACTATTTTATACATATAAAGCCTTATAATTACTTTTATTTAATTAATTTATAATTTAAGTTGAATAATTATAATTTAAGTTTGAATAATTATAATTTAAGTTGAAATTGCTTTTTTTTTATGTGTGTTATTAAAATATCATTCTGAATGTGAGAAGAGAAACATTATGTTAGACAAAATAGAAGTTAATCACATACTATATTAAAATGTTTTGCAACGTTGTAGCATGCGATCGTAAGTGCGTTGCTTTCAGTAGTAATTATACTAATTATACACATTGTTTGGAATGCACATTCCATATTTTGATTGCAATTTCTTTAGAAGTGGTTTATATCTTTAGATTCTTGTCTTACACGCTTCGGTTTTCTTTCATATACATATAGCAATTTATTTTAATGGGACCTCGGTTACGGTAACAACGTCTACGATAGACGTTAGTAATAATGTATAAAAGTTGTTCGTAGCAGTGTATAGGGTATCTATAGCAATGTCATATTTAATTAATTCTTCGGCGCCTTTTGCGCTCGATAGGCGTTACACTTGACACCAAAGGCGCGTATCCATAACACCGACTTAAAGTTGAGACTTAAACATCGTCATTGCGATCGAAGAAAATGAACTCTAGGTATCAATACAAAATAACCTACAAAATATACTTAAAAATATAATAATTTTTATTTTCTAACGGTGTTATTGTATTAAAATGTTTAAAATAAATTATAATATTCACAAATTTTTTTTTTTTTTAATTTACGTCATTTAAAATATATGTAATTGCAATTAATTCACGTTACATTGAGTATGACTAAATTTTATTTGTTTTGATGACATTTATTAATTTATTTATAGTTCCGGATATGGTAAATAACCGGTTATGTTAAAAATTGTGTATATACAAAACTAGGGGATCGCATAGAACGTATACCTGCAGCTATTGAACTATGTATCGTAAGCTATACTTCAAATGCACACAATCGATAGATAGGAAGATAATTATGTACTTTATTTTATAAAATTTGATTGATAACATTCTAGAAATAAGCAAAAATATGTGTTAAAAAATAATTTTTTGTGTCAAATGGATATTAATTATGGAAAAATATGAAGTTTCGAAATCTACTTTTTTCACTACTTTTATATAATTAATTATTCATAAAATTTGATATTTGTAAAATGTATTTAGCAGAAGTAATTTTATTTTAAATAATACACATTAAAAATTAATACTTAAGCATGTTAAGACATACGTCCAAAAAAACTGTAAGAACAATGTAGTATATAAGATCTCATGCGGAGATTGCGATGCGTCGTACGTCGGATAGACGGGTAGACAACTAAAAACTAGAATCGCTGAACACCGGAATCATATTAGATATAACACGTCTACGCGTTCTGTTATCACTGAGCATAGGTTACAACATGGTCATGAATTTCGTTGGGATGAAGTTGAAATTCTAGACGAAGAACCGTGCTACAGAAAACGTTTAGTCTCAGAGATGCTTAATATAAAAAGACAGAACAACAGTGTTAACTTACAAACCGACACAGAAAGTCTCCATAAAGCATATTTTCCAATTATAAACAAAGTTTAACATTGTCATTTTGTGGCCTGGCTCAGTTATCATCTAGCACTCACTATGTTAGCATGTTCAGTAATGGTCGCAGATAATATAATATATCACTCGAATTTATATTTTGAAATCTGTAACAGTGAAAAATAATTTTATAATTTTTTGACTTCTAAAAACGTTTATATACTGACGATCTGAATACCAATGTATTACACTAAGTTATTGTGAGAGTTCTGAATAACAATGTCCATCTCTGAAGGTTTGACAGAATTATAACTTATTTTAACGAAATGTATCATATGCAGATTTAACTTGACTAATTGTGTGTTAATTTATTACACTTAAAATAGCTTTCTTTACTTTCGATCTGTCAATCGCTTGATGAACAATGTACGGAGATGGATAATCTAGATTAATCTAATAATTAGTACCTTCAAGAGTTATGATGTTGCTTCTGAAGAGGGCTCAATCCTGGAGCCGAAACGTTAAGTAGTTTTTAGAATTTTGTATTTTTTAGAGATGTATATTTAAGAATTTTGTAGGATGAAGTTTTTATTATATATGACTGTTACGTGTTATTTAACTTTTTAAATTTGATTTTATTTGATTCTTACAATGTCCCTTTTACCTTTCGTTTTTATGCTTATGCATGTGCATAGTTTTTTAAATTAAGCTTTATTTATTACATTTTAGATTACTAGAAAGTTCTTTTGACTAGTCATCAATTCGGATAGTCTTGACTTGATACTTTAGATTTCTTAAATTTTTAAAACTTGAACTGTCATTTTGAATATAATAGACAAAAAAATTACTAGAAAGTTAGTATGATACATTATTTTATATGTTATAAAATATATGTTACTGATAAATATTGTTTAAGAGTTTAGATTTTCTAAAGTTTAAAACAGTTTTATATTATATTGTTATTTTAAATTAATTAAAATATTTTTATTTTTTATTAATAATTTTCTACTGGAAAATTGTCGCCGATACACTGTCATATTACTTTGGACTATATATTTCTTAACCATAAACTAAAAAACTTTAGAAATATATATACATCTTTTCTTAGGATGCTTATATCAGTACAGATAATTTTTCCCTATTACTTAAAATTTACCTATTTTAGTCTTTTTTTTATTACTACTTTAAACATGCCTGTTTTGAATATTATAAATTTTGTATTTCAGAGATTTATATATTATTTTTTTCAAAGACGAAAACCATCATTTTCTTAAAAAGATAGAATAATACTTTTCATTTTCTCATCTTATTTTTTATATATAATTTCAATCATTTTTTTTAACTGTTAAACACAAGAAACACAAATATCATATAGGAAAAGTCCATTTAAGCTTTTTCATGAAACTATTTTTATTCGATAAATCTCAAAAGCTGCTGATCGCGCAGTCGCAATACACCGATGTCGTCGAATCACAGTCAATGGACAAACAAATATACATATGTATATGTGAGAATGTGTGAATATGAGAGCAACTCCAAGGGAGAGGGTAGTTTGCCGATGAGAATTGCTGAGAAGGACCGCCGATAAGAAGACGTCCGAGGTCGGAGAGTAAGACATCGACGAAAGTGGACATTCGTACATCAACAACCTGAAGAAAAATTTCTCCAGGTGTGCCTCACAGAAGCCTTACGACAGAACTTTAAGAAAAAGAAAGCACAAAATCTAAAGTTTTTTTAATTAAAAAATCAAACTCAAAGATTTGTGAATTCCGAAGACAGGACCACATGATAAATTTAAAGATTAAGAACTTCATATTTATTTTAAAAAAGTCGAATTATTTTGAACATCAAATCATTCGATGATATTTTATAAACATCAAAATTCTATTAATGTAAAAATTATATATGAATAATCAATAAAAAGATATCAAAGAATCCATTAAGTGTGAAAGCTTAGAATTTTGTTAATTTTAGAGCTGGTTGATTTTGTCAATTTTAGAAAAATTTTATCAAATTTGATATAATCAAGAAATCGGTACATTTCAAAAATTAAAATGTCGATGCAAAGAATGAGCGCCTCTCAAAAAATTTTCAAAAAATTGAAAAATAACACGAGTCGTGTTTTATGAAGAATAGACAATGTGAGGCGTAATCCAAATTTGAGGCTTTTATTATCCTTTTTTACGATCGGAAAAATTCTCAATGTTGTGCTATATATTAATGACGAATATAAGGTGCTAACCTGCTGGCAAAATCTCTCCAAGATAGGAAATATAATTTAATTTGCACAGTGTGTTCTCAGATTAACATGGTGTCCATAAAAACATTAGGACTTGCAGGCTCTTGTACGTTTTCCATTGGACTTATTAGTTATACTTTGGGATTTCCTTCTATGCTGAAGTCGCAAGTTAAATCTGTAAGTAGTGATTGATACATTAGACCCCCAATCTAACAAGTTTTGTTCGAAATACTGAAATCAGAACTGCAAGAAAGATCGTTCTTTTAATATTAGATTACTTCGATTTTAGCTGCAAGCTGTGAATATCTTGATAAACTATTTTTCAACACATTTTAAATGCGTTTTGTTATACAGAATATATATTTTTATTTAAAAATTATAAATAATAATTACTAATATAATAATTATTTAAAATAAAGTGAAGAAAAAATGCTGTGAAGAAAAATGTTGCTGTGTAGTAAAGTGTTAAATTTTGTAGTATCCTTTGAATACCATAATACAAGAAGAAAGACTCGTTTTTGTTTAAATTACTGTATTTTACAAATTTTACAGCAAGTTAGATTAAAAAAAGGAAACGAAATACGCGACTTTTGGGAGAAACTTCCGCAACCGTTGGATTTTAATATTTATGTCTTCAATGTAACAAATCCGAATGATATTGCATCAGGAGCGAAACCGATTGTTCAAGAACTAGGACCCTTCCACTATGAGTAATCTTTCTTATATAATACAATAATTTATTTTATGGTTATGGAGGTAATTTGTCACTTGTTATAAAAGTAGTGTTTCAAACACGAAAAATATTGAGCAAATTTTGATGTAAAGATGATAAAAGGAAAATAATCGGTAAATGAATAATACAAATAAAGAGAAATCCTATACCTGTGCGGATTTTGATGCTTAATATATTTATATGCAATGTATTTGCAAAATTATTGCGTATTTAAATGTTATTAAGCTTCAAGATCCGTTTTAACTAAAAATAGAATCTTTTGTTATTTAAATAATCTATAATTTACCTCTAATAGAAATAAATTTTACTTCGTCATTTATAATATGATATGTAAAAATAAAATGGAAATTAATAACCGATTTTCAGTTTGTATCGGGACAAGGAAGACGTCGTAGATCGAGAGGAAGATGACACTGTTGAATACAGTTTGCGACAACTTTGGTACTTTAATCAGGAGAAAAGCATTATGTCAGACGACGTGGAAATTTACGCGTTTCATCCTCTCATGCTAATGGTAACCTTAGTCATGCAAAGAGACAAGCCATCTACATTGGGTGTAATTAGTAAGTATTTAACGAAAGAATAGAATTCTATTCACACAATTAAAGAAGTTTTAATGCCCGCTTTAACTTGTGGATATTCAGTTAAATAATTTATGTAATTTTGAGATTTAATATTTAATATTGTTTAAGTAATCTTTGTTTTTCGGATCGAATTGTTCGTCACTTGTTGTAAAATCAAGCATTGCTTGTCTTTGAAAATCGAAAGATTACTAATTTTGCCAGACCTGTTCAATTTGATCTCCAAAACACAGAGCCATCAACGCAAAAAAATTTAATGTAAGATTTCATGGACTATAAAGGGTTTAACCGTCGACGCATATAAACACTTTACAGTCTCTGAAATCTAAGGTAAATGTACCGGTTATTGGACAGTTAAGGAATTGCACGACGAAATCATTTATTTAAACTTTAGAAACATTAAAATTTTAGTTTATTACACATGCTTAGTAAGAATGGATGTTTTCTGAAACTAAATCCATTATCAAATATGTTATTTGCGTTTATTATAAATTGTATTTAGTCATAAATATAATATGATTCAAATGTCCTAATTATTGGACAAAAAATGTGACGTGTCTCTGTGTCCACAAAAGTATGACCCAATTATTGAACAAATAATAAGCAATCTTCTTATTATAGAAGAGAATCGTATTTTACTTACTTATCAATCAAGATTGTTCAAAAAAGTTTATCGAAATTGTAATTAGTGAAGTTTTATATAAAGTTTTATATGTAATATATACAAAATATGTTTGCAGTAGACAGGTACGCTAAGGAATGACCAATAATTGATACACGCATATGTGTGAATGTCTTAATAAAAATAAATGGACGATTGTCCATAAACGAAATTTTTTTTACAAAAGTATCATTTTTAATATGAATAAATTATATAATACTTAATTTCTAAATAATATGAAAAATTGCTTAAAAATTTATTTAGAGTAACACATATATTATCAAAAGCTTAATATTTAAAATTGTCACAATTTGTCCAACAATTGGGTCGTGTCCACGAACTGGTACATTTACCTTATATTGTTTTTTTTTTGCATCAATGATTTAACGACTCCAGAGCTCAAATTGGACAGGCCTGCCATAATAATTAGTAATCTTCTGATTTTTAATAACAAACAATGCTTAATTTACAAAAAGTGACAAAAAACTCGATATCCTAATACATTAAAATTACTTATACAATATTAAATATTAACCTGCATTATGGGAACAAAATTACTTTTACTATCAAAAATTTTGGTTTTTATTGTCGCTATTATATCAATTATATTAGCTGCGTATATATTTATATTGCACGCATGTATTTATTCTAAAATATATATATATATATCATATAATATATATACCTATAATCTTATACTCCTTATACTATATCCTTCTCTCTCTCTTTCTCCTCTCTCTCAAAATGTTATACAAAAAAGGCAAACTAAATATAATTATCTTTTTTTTTTAGGCAAAGCGTTTGATAGTATTTTCAAGAAACCCGAATCAATATTTGCTAAAACTACTGTAAGAGATTTGTTTTTTCGTGGTGTACCTTTTGATTGCACGGATGTCACAGATTTTGCTGGATCCGCAGTATGCAACGGTTTACAGGAAAAAGAAGAGACATTAATCCGAGAGGAGGGTTTACGTTTTAGATTTGGTTATCTTGCTACGGTAATATATCTGCAAATAACACAAATTTTTTACGCTGTTATATTACAATATTATTAATAAAAGTGAATAAAAAAAAGCTCTTTTGTCTTTAAAAATATTATCTATCTTATTTTTACATAATTTTACCGTATTTTTAAGTAATATTTTTATAAATATATTCACATATAATGTATTTTTTATTTCGATCACATGAAAAGAAAATAATATTATCATTGATCGTCAGAAATCATTAAAATAAAATTAAGAAAATTTAATTTATTTAGGATGTATATACGTGCATATTAATTTAATTGAATTCAGGCAAAATTAAATTAATTTGGATCATTATATTTTTTAGTTTAAAAAACTTCTAAGAATTCAATATATTTTAAATGTTATCTTTTTATTTTAGATAAACGGAAGTCGTTTGCCGGGACGAATAAGAGTATACCGTGGGATTAAAAATTACAAAGACGTAGGTCGTGTGGTGACGATAGGCAATAGTACACAGATGAACTTGTGGTTTGGCAGTCCTTGCAACAATTTTCGTGGAACAGACGGAACTATCTTCCCACCATTTCTCAGCAAAGAAAAAGAAGTCTGGGTACACTCCTTAGACCTTTGTCGAAGTATTGGTGCTTATTATATGGAATCAGGGAAAGTTCAAGGTATTTTATGAAAAATATTTGCTTTCTTAATTAATTTCTTAAATATTTTGCTATTGTGAATCACATAAAATTCAACTATATATACATTATACATACATATATACATATATGAGAGAGAGAGAGAGAGAGAGAGAGAAAGAGATCTGATGCGAAACTCTAACACTGTTCAACAACAAAATTCTCTCCAAAAAGTGTCATAAAATATAATTTCAAAGATTTCTTGTGCTGAACACAATCCTACTAGTGGTAGAATTTGCGTAGTACATTAAGGTTTTGTGTAAATTAAAGAAAAATGAGCCAAAATAGTACATTGTGCAACTAGGGAGCAAAATAGGCGTTTTCCGACGAGTGCGCGTTTGACGCCCGAGCGAAGCGAGGGCTGCAATTCGCACTCGTCGGTAAACACCTGTGCTCCCGCGATGCACATACTATTTTTTCACACTCTGAGCGCAAAATTATACTATTTTTGCTCCATATATTGCGGGAGCAAAATATCACTTTCTCTCCCGAGGGAGCAAAATAGCAATTTCGCTCCCTCTGTACTATTTTTCTCCCTAGGGAGAGAAAGTGCTATTTTGCTCCCGCAATATAGGGAGCAAAATTAGTATTTTGCGCTCAGAGTGTGAAAAATAACGTTTTTTATCATTTTTAATACTTTTTCACTGAAAAAAACGAACACTTATTTTTAAATAAAGATTGCAATACATTTAAAAGTACAATTCAAGTGCTAATTTCAAATGAATTTTAATTTATGATCGTAAGACTCATTTTTATTAAGTTGTAGCTTAAATTTTATAGTTTGTATGAGATTATATACTTCAACAAAAATTATTTCTTTTTTCTTTTTAAAGTATCATAGTACGTAATCCAAAGATTTTGGATATAAATATGATGCTATCATCATTTACGTAGCATGTTTTTAGTAAATTGGAATAAAATGAATAATAAGTTAAAATAAATAATAAAATGAATAATAAGTTAAATGGAGAAACTATTACAATTTACTATTACATTCTAATTTATTAAATATCCTGATGTATTACACAATTCTGATAATTATAGCGTGTTTAGCACAAAAGAATTTCTTTAGGACATACGCTATGCATTTTGAAAAAAAAAACAACTCTTAACTGTTGAACTGTGTATAATTAGGTAATTATATATATATATTAATTTTATTGATTTATAGTTGACTTCTTTTTATAACAATTTTTTAAAAATTAATTTAAATTGAGTAAGAGTTTGAGTTATCACGTAAGAATTAATCAAATTGTAAAGATATTTAAATTCTAAACATAATATAATAAAAAATTGTATGTTTTTCAAATTTCGTTTTCACACTAAGTGTTTGCTCTTTGCCGATTCTAAAACATGCTTGGAAACAAAAATTAGTAAAGTGATCAGGTTAATTAATTTTGTAACACAGGTTTCAGGACGCTACATTACACTGCGGACCTAGGCGATCCGTCTGAGGATGAGGATGTGAGGTGTCTTTGTCAAGAATCCGAAGGATGCATGCCTAAGAACATATTTAATGCAAATCCCTGTAAAAACGCGCCTTTAAGGATAAGTCTACCTCATTTTTACGATTCCGACCCGAGATACCTCGAGATGGTTGAGGGTGTAAATCCCATTCCTGTAAGTTTAACAATTGCTTGTTCACTTTTTAAAATAAATGTAATGTATAATAATTTAAAATAATAAAATTAATTTTATATTATTCTTTTTTCTACGATTTTTTACCCATATAAAATAGCTTTTTCTTTCTTTTATATTATTCTACTATTATATAATTTATGTAAATATGTATAAAATTAATTTTAAGCAAGAGCTAAAGAAGATATCAAATAATAAATAAAATTAATTTTAGAGAAATAATAATGAATTGATAATAAATGAATTTTAAGAAACAATGTGAGTTCACCGTGACAATTTCTAACTATGTAAAATTGCTACAAATAATAAAACAATTACGAATTTTATCCGAATTGTAATAAGAGATACTGTTTGCAGGAAAAGCACCGGATGACTTTTAATTTTGATCCGATGACAGGCACTCCAATAAAAGCGTACAAAAAGATTCAATTCAATGTGGTAGTTGGACCCATTCCTAAACTTCGATTGATGAAGTCCTTTCCGGAAGCGCTTTTTCCGCTATTTTGGGTGGAAGATGGTCTTGAACTTGGGAATATTCTTATAAAACCCCTAAAAGTTGCCTATTTACAAATTTTAATTGCAAAGTAATTAATATCATTTTTTTACAAGTTTTCACAGTTTTTATTACGTTATGGTTTCAATATATGGCTTAGCTTCGTCTTATGAAATGTTTAACATTGCATACAAAAAATTATTTTGCGATAGAATTTTTTGGCATGGTGTTTCCGTACCAAAACTGCTGCGGCGGACTAATTAATTTTTTTTTTTGCAGGATAGTGATGTGGCTCATGATGCTCGGTGGTCTGGGCACGTTTACTGTCGCTATGATGAGGTATTACAAAGAAAACAATGCAGGCAAAGTTGCGGTACCAGATCTTCTGCCGGGTAAAGAGGAGAACAAGGGAAAGTTAGCCATTAGTACCATACCAGCTGAAATACCACCTAGAATTGATTAACAGGGAGTAATAATTATATTGTTACACTAAAGAAATTGGAAGAAGGTATTATATTAATTGCGTGATATCGAAAATACAAAGTGAATGAAAACCGATGAGAACATGCCGTAACGGTCAAGCTGGATCTCGAGTGCTTCTATAAGATTTGATATAAAAATTAATATTTTTGACCCGATACGAGATCAATAACGACATTTTAAAAATTAAAGATGCCGTTACTTGAATAATAGAATAATATTAATAATACACAATAATATTTGATGCCATTATTTGAATAATATTTCGACAACATTTATCTAGTAACACGTTCCATTATTGTAATACTTACTTAGATAGAAATAAATAGAGTTGTGTGTTTCAAGATTTCGACAATTGTTCGGCGCACAGTTTAGAAAGATTGCATATATCAGTATATAAATTCACGTGAAATTATATACAAGCAACTAAGATCCAAGTTAGACTGTTATAGGCTTCGTATTCGTATTAGAAATAATGTATCCGTGTTTTACTTTACAAATACACACGGGCCGTAATCAAATAACGTTTTTATCGTATATTTTTAATATATTATTTTAAAAAATATCATTGTTGAAAGATACATTAGATATCAGAATCTTTATTAATTCTAATCACTTTATTAATTCTAATGTTAGTTAATTAGATTAATTAATTATAACGATGAATTAAGTAACGATGTCGATCTATGAATGCATATTAGCAGACCATAAATATGTAAAAAATTATATATTAATTATTATTAATACATTTTTGTTGCATGCTTATTATAAAAGGTGTCTTGTTTGATCCAAAATACCTAGTCGATTAAACCTGATAATTAAAATCAATAAACCTATTCTTAATGTCATTAACTTTTATTATAATGTTGTAAAAGAGAATTGCTTAAAGTATTATATATAAATTATCTAAATTGTATCTTATTATTTTATTATTGTTATTGAGTATTAATATAAACAATATAAATGAACAATGAAAAATAAAACAAAATAATTCCCAAATTATATCTTAATTTGTACATAATACAAACATTTAAAAAAATCAAATTATATATGTATATTGCGACACAGTCGTCACAACCTGCGTGAATAAGTTACTCTTTGCTTCGCGTAATCGTATTTTACTTCAAGATACACTTAAATATATCTTCATATTCTTATTTCACATAATAATATTATAAATTATATACTTAACTTATTTTGTATACGTAAGAAATCAGATAAAACATACAAGAGATCTTTATCTGTACCAAAGTCTATGATCTTTCCGAAAAAAATGTCGAAAAATCTCATTTTTTTAAAATAATATATTCAAAGATTTATTGTTTCAAGAAAGATAACAAGAGAGATAGTTTAATTAATTGTTATAAGAAAAGTAACAGAAATTTTGATTTTTAGAGATTGGAAATCCTGATCCACAAGAAAAAGAGAAAAACAAGGGTGGCAGAGAATCAGAGAGACGCATTAATAAACTTCACGACATTTATTTTAAATTTAATCCTCTGTCTGCAATCTGGGTGTTGTTTAGCACAAGAGAAAATTTCATTTTCAAATTTTTCCGAAATAAAAGAAGACAAAGTTTAATTCCTTCTATTAAAATATCTTATTAGTAGTAAAGCCTCATGTAACAGAGGTGTTGAAAAGTATAACCGTGAATTTTCCTACATTTTTTAAAAGTTCAGAACAATAAAAAAACTTGAACTGGACAAAAAAGACCCATATTACAGACAGCAAAAATGAGAATATAATTGTAGATAAAGGGTTAATTTAATCCAAAATCATACATTTCATAAGTATCGATCATCGTCATCCGCAACCTATTAAGTATAACGACCGAAATCTTAAGGTATTTCAAAGGTATATATACAATATATATAACATTCTTAATTAGATAATAGGTACTTTAGAATTACACAATCAATTATGTTAAGAAACTTTTAATAAAACGATTAACTGTTCATTTTTCTTTCAATGTGTTTATTCATCATATTAATATCTATATACGTTATTGAAGAACACGCGATAAGCAAAGGTCATCATGACTTTAGAATCAGCCAGCCTAATTTTTCTTTTGACTTATGATCGGATGTTCTTCAGTGTCACACATTTGCGAGTCAGCGAGTAAAATTGCACGTCGAACGCAGTGTCGTCGTCGTTGGTGGAGCCTATTCTGCTGGAGATGCCGTGTTATTACGTAGGAAAACCGAGAGGACAACGAGGCCGGACAAGTTGGAGTACGCCGACGCCGGCCTGGTGTAAGACATCGGTGTCATTATCGCGCGGGCAGTCCGTTCACGACGAGCCGCGCACGATCAACAGCGACGGCGACGTCGACGACAACGAGGACGACAAGGGTGGTGTGAAGAGTTCGGTCGAAAGACCGTACAGGTGCGAAGACAGTCGGGAAGGTCTAGGCTTCCACCTTGCGACTCTCGATAGCTTAAAATATCTGTATAAAATTTCATACGCGGATAAAGCAACGCGAACAGTGTATACTGCGTGAAAAAAGGACCACAGAGTGAACAAAGATTCTAATAATTGAAATTTTAACGCGAGATTTTTTTTGTACGATCAATCCGGTTTTTGTAGATCTAAAGGCGAGAAAGGAACGTAAATCACGCAAAGCGATATTTATCTGCAGAATGATCGACAGGAAAAATTAAGGAATTCTGATACTCTAAACATACCAATATTGATAATGGAATCACACAAATTGCTGAAAACTGAATACTGATATTGTTAGTGAATATTGATACGCAGATACCAAAGAATAGATTATGCGCTTAGTTAAATTGTTTGGATTAGAAGATAAAAATAGAAAGAATCCACTCTCAAACGCAGAATTTTTTTCGCGCGCGTGAGACATGATCTTTATTTTATATTATTATTTAACGTAAAATTATGGATAAATGAATTACTTTTTAGTTAATTTTTTGTGTAAACAATGAATGTTACGAATTCTAATTCAATATTCTCAATATTAAAATAAATATATTAATTTATTAATTAAATAGTAATAAAACAAAGAATATATCTTTTCATACACCCTTTATTTTATATTTTATTTTACTAGATAAAAAAAACAATTTTGCTGAAGTATCTAAAAATTTAGCTAAATATAGATCTGAAAATAATTTTGTTTAAACTATTAAAATAATTATGTAAAACGTACAAGTTATTAGAATATTATAATTTCTTGCAGAATTATCATCAACATTCTACGTTAAATGTTCTAATAATTATTTTGATAGTCCAACAAAGTTATTTTTAAATTTATAAGTATCCATCTAAATTTTTAGATACTTTAACAAAATCGTTTTTTTTTCCCTTTCTGTATATCAAGTTTGAGAATACCTACTTTCACACATATGTTACTTTTATTCTTATATTCAATTTCTTTAATAGTATCTTACACATTATATTGTAATATTCTAATATTCATTTTAATCTAATTTTTACGCATCGCAAACGAAATTTTCATGAACATGAGAGATCGAGTAAGAGAGTTTTAAAAAGAAGAGAAATCTTTTTATCTTAAATCTTTTTTTATTAAGTGCAGTGCAGCAAAAGGTGTTTCTTCCGAATCAGAGTGGAGCAAAACCGGCAAGGACAGGCATTTCTATATATAAGTGTCATTATAAAACATAATAATGGTCACCAAGCGACGTGCATATGACGTCGCCGTTCGCGAACTTCGGAGGATGTACGATGTTTTAAAATGTTCGAAGTTGCTGCACGCGTTTCCGTTTGGTAAAACGTTTGACAACGTACTCCGCGTCTTCGAAGAATATAATAAGGTTTCGATCGTTTATAATGTCGATCTTCGATTTTCGCAAATCAAGAATGGAGCTCGTGAAAAATTGACGTACCCTTATAAAAGCGATTGCTCCAAAAAGATATCGGCTGAGTCTTTTACAATTAACGTGTTTACGTTTCCTTTATATGAACGCCATAATGATAATGTCTTGACTTTAAACGGAGCGATAAATTATAATTGATCGTTATTAATATTTCCAATAAGTACATAACATTTTCTAAAATTTTTAGAACAAATGTCACTCTGAAGAGTAAAATCTCATTCTTAAAGATTGAAAATTGAATCACTCTTCCTCAAGACTTTTCAATTTTTACCCTTTATAGTGAAATTTTATCTCAAAGAATTTAGACAGTATGCAATTATGTAACAGATTCGCGAACTTAAATGTTTATTCGCAATTTTATGTAATCCGAACCACTTAAGTTTTTACAAATGATTGCTTTATACGTTTAAAATATCTATTTCGGTCAGATCGTATATTTGTGCCTAAATATCATTTGGCGTTTCTGCAGAACTTTAAAATGGTGTCTATAAAAAAGCTCGGAATTGGCGGTGGAGTTTCGTTCATCTTTGGCATTGTACTTTGGTTCGGATTTCCAGCATTGATTAGATCGCAGATTAAAAAGGTAAGCGAATGTATTGTTATAATAATAAATTTATTGTTTTTGTATAAAATATTTTAGTCTTGCTAAGAAAATGTAAATAAGTGATCATATGATTACTAAGAAAGTGACATATTTCTATATTATTTATATTTGTTAAATTTATATTAGTCGAGGCATGTCACTCGCGAGTCAACAGTTTTTAACTTAGTAACGCTAGAAATCATAATAGAATCTAACTCAAATTATAATGACGTACACATGAAATCGTATGAATAACGTGTCAGTAGAACCAGTGAAAATAAAGAATGCGAGTCAACGTGAGTCGATGCGAGTCTAGCGCTTCATTATTATAACGTTTAAAATCGTGGGAAATCGCTTGAAACCGATTGTAATCGTTTGCTAATGTTTATGTGACTCTCTTTGACTTGAGAGTGACATATATTACTAGTTACATTATACATATCGCATTATGATAATAATTTAAATCAATTTATAAAATTCTGATACAAGGTATTATTATTTCATACAAATTGTTGATAATAGAAGTAGTTAAAATAATTACGCTTTGTTAGCGCTTTTTTTTTATTTGAACAAGTTGCTTGTGTTTAAAAAAAATTTTTTTAATTACAGTTTTTTTTAATAATTTTATTTCTGTATGTGATTCGCAAAATTAATTTCAAAGAAATATGCACATAAATGTTTTCCAGATTATGAAATTTTCGTTTCCTATATTTTTATCAAAACGTTATTTATTAATGTTATATTACACACATAATATAAATATTTATACTATGTTAATAAATTTTCGTATATTTTTTATATATTTTTTTTGTTCCCAGAAATTTTGCGTAAGCATCTGATCTCTAAGTAGTCATTATTATTTCGTACTTTATGTATCGAAAACGTTCAAGTCATTCTACAAAAGCATATGTCACGAAATCCTTGAACCTTAGTTGTCATTATGTATTGTTATTATACAATATATTGCTTTGGCGCGCATTTTATTGCAATATAACTTTCTGTCCAAAAATGGTGAAAAAAAATTATATTAATTTTTTTTTAATATACCGTTACATAAAACATAAACACATTTTTAGAATTAATTTCATGGATAAATACCTATTTTATTCTCACAGCTACAATTATCGTAACATTCGCTAACATAAATGTTCGTTAAAACTGTAATTTGTGCAATCCACGTTGGTATACAGATCCACTTTTTATTGCAAAGTTTTAAATAATATACCAAGTTCGCTGCAAACACCAAGAACCTTGTTTCAAAATCATCTATCTTAAATCCATAATTTAAAAAAAAATTAAATCCACAATAAAAAAATTAAGTATTTTACAAAACTCACATTTTCATTATTTATCAAGTAAAGGAAATAGGCTAATGGAAACCTGTAACAATCAAGAGCACGCCTTAATATGACTTGAACTTAAACACTTTTTTATATTGCGTTAGTTGATGATAGCTAAAATAAATTAACCGAAGAAAAAGTACGTTCGTTTATATCTTTAATGTAATCATTTTGATAAAAGTTGTTATATGTACGAAGTTATTGCTAATTCCTATATAACTTATTTCCTTTATTTAATAATTTATATTCCTTGCAAATGTCATTTATCTTTCTTAATCGTCATCATTTATTTCATTTATCAATTATATTGTAATCGTAAATTGACAAGATTTAACGTATATGTGTAGGCGGTTCAACTGAAACCAGGAAGTGAAATACGCGATATGTGGACGGTTGTTCCGTTTCCACTGGATTTTAAGGTTTATATGTTCAATATAACCAATCCTGATGAAATTAAGGAGGGTAAAAAGCCGAAAGTACAAGAAGTCGGGCCGTTCTTCTACGAGTAAGCTTTTAATCTAATACTCTTATATGTACGAAAATTTACGATTTAATATTTATAATAAAATCTAACGACATATTTCAAATCTAATATTGTCACAGAATTTATAGAATGGACATCAGCATCTGAAACTAACTTTATTTCTACATTTTGTTTAAAAATTAAATACTATATTCTATTATTTTCACATTTTTTTGTTATAGGTCCATGGAAAGAATGGTTTTGTTAAAGCAGCTAAAAATTTAGTTAGATACAGATTTGAAAATAATTTGGTTAGACCCAAATTAGTTGTTAAAATGTCAAAACTCTTGCAGCATTGCTCATTATGTTTGAATGCCTTTCATAATTATTATGTTATTCTCTAACAAAAATATTTTTATATCTACATCTATATATACTGCTAAATTTTTAGGTACTTCAGTAAAATCGTCCTTTTTACGTGTAGCCAATTTTGTTTTGATTTAGACTAGAACTTACTTAATTTCTTACTTAATTTACATTAATAAAAAGTCACGTATGCTTTCGTAAATTTGTTCATTCTCAAAAATTTTCAAACATTCGAATATCAACTTCAGGGAGTACAAGGTAAAGTTTGATCTCGTCGATCGAGAAGAAGAGGACTCCGTCGAGTATAGTATGAAGACAACATGGTTCTTCAACGCCAAGAAGAGCAATCCATTGACGGGGGATGAGATAATGGTATTCCCTCATCTCATGATTCTGGGCATGGTGGGGGCCACGCTTTTGGACAAACCCGCCGCGATCGGTGTCGTCGGTACGTACACATACGATTTATCAGTATTAAATATCATTTTCTTTCAATGTCGCGTATCGATTGCAGTCGCGAATCGGCTGTATCACACAGGGTCGACGTGGACTATAATAATAAATGTGTGCCGGAAGGTTTAAAGTGGAACGCGAGATACGTTTTTCTATAGCGTACGTACACCTTAGGCGAAGGTGCGAATTATTTATAAGGTCTTCGTTGCCTCGATCACCATATTTATAACACGAGACATTGCCTCGTGCGACGATTAAACTCAATAAAAATAGCGAACGATTTGCAAAACACGTCATTATATTAGCCTTAAAATATACATTCATAATTTGTCTTGTTAAAATTTATTACCGATTGAATAACGTAGGCAAAGCCGTCGATAGCATCTTCCACAAGCCGGACTCGATATTCGTGACAGCCAAGGCAAAGGACATACTTTTTGACGGTCTACCTGTCGATTGCGACGTGAAAGACTTCGCCGGATCGGCGGTGTGCAATTTATTGAAGACGGAAGCAAAAGATTTGATACCGGACGGTGAAAATCGTTACAAGTTCTCTCTTTTTGGTGGGGTAGGTACACTAAAAAAAATTTTCTAAATCTTGATACATATTTTTTTAAACAATAGCACTAAGTAAACTTTTTTTACTTATAGTATACAAATATTTACTCAATAAAATAATGATAGTAAAATCAAATTAATGGTTTTTATATCAAATAAAGATACGTTCATATTTAATAAATATTTAATTATAATTCAAACAAATCTTTATTAAAATTTAATATTTTTACCACAATTATTTTACAGATAAAACTATTTAGAATTTTCTAATTATTGAGTGATTTGTGTGAGTGACTATTGTTTCTGAAACTATATATTTTATTGTATCATATATTTAGTTTGATGTGGATATTATTTTAACGTAACTCTATAACATCCCTGAGTTCTTGGAGATATATGATAATAAGTAGATAAAGTAGCTTAATTGTATGTTTAAAAAAACGAGTCACGCATGGAGATAATAACAAACTATTATGTTGCATCTGGCAATCTCGTCGTAACTATAATAAAACTAAATTGTTGTCATTTCGCTGGATGTTACATATTTGCGAAAAGTGCATAGATAAAAAGTATGCAAAAATTAGAAGAATGTATTACATTGTTCTTTAATGATGAAAACGCGATTTATTATTTCACGGAAAATTTAATGTTTACAGAAAAACGGTACCGCCGTGGAGGAACGTATGAAAGTTCTGCGTGGTGTTCGAAATTACAAGGAAGTCGGTCAAGTTTTGGAATTCAATGGTAAACCTGCATTAGACATCTGGCCGGAAGATCACTGCAACGCTTACAACGGTACTGATTCAACAATTTTCGCGCCTCTGTTCGGGCCGGACGACGACGTCGTCTCGTTTGGCTATGAAATCTGTCGAAGTCTTAGTGCAAAATTCGAGCGCCATACCAAAGTCAAAGGCATGTATTTAAAAATTTTTTAACTTAAAATTTATATTTTATAAAAAGTAAAATTAGATTTTAATGTTTTAAGATGCAAAATCATTTGCAGAAAATCATGCACCTGTTATTGAAAAATGATGTAACACTTTGTGCATCTCTTAACGAAACTTATGATTATAATTAGTATCTATTATATAATTTTTTGAAATGTCGAAACACAATACGACGCGACAAGTAAATATATGTATATTTATTTATACTGTTACTTATTACTTTAACAATTTTGAATTCGCAGGCGTTAAAACTCTCCGTTACACCGCGAATTTAGGAGATAGCAATAATCCTATGGAAAAGTGCTTCTGCCGGACACCGGAGACTTGTCTGCCAAGAAATTTCTACGATATGACGAAATGTTTAGGCGTGCCTATTATTGGATCTCTGCCGCATTTTTACGATACCGACGGAAGATATTTAAAACTGGTGGATGGTTTACGTCCGAATCAGGTGATCGACAAAGAAACAATATATTGTGATAATCATGATTAAAAATAAATAATTTAATAAAATAACTACTAATTAAATATGAAAGATACTTATATATAATTTTGAATAAATGGTATTGATCGGCAGGAGGAGCATGAGATTGATATGGATTTTGAACCGATGACGGCTACACCAATACGCGCGCATAAAAGGTTGCAGTTTAATATGTTCATACAACCGATACCAAAGTTCAAATTAATGAAGAATTTTCCGGAGGCACTGCTGCCTCTGTTCTGGGTAGAGGAAGGAATAACTCTCGACGACGAGTTCGTCAATAAAGTGAAGATGGTGTTTAAAGTGTTGGCGGTTGTCAGGTGAGTGTTGCGATTTTTGCTAAGTTTTTTAAATAATTATATTTGATAAAAAATATCACGTATACATACACATATAATATCTATATTAAGAGAAACATTTTCGATATAATATTTTTAATTATACTTACATATATATAATTATCATAATTATAGTAATTACTGCTATATAATTATAATTATAACTGCTATAATGTTAGCAATGATAACTATATTTATCTATATATATATACTATCAATAAGTATATGTATGGCAGCCGAAAATTACTATAATTGTTACATAGTTATTGTTACTATATAAAAATTATTGTAATTACTACAAAATAATTACATTATTAAGAATCCGAAGTATTACTGCGCGAAATAATGACTGAATATATTTAAGAATAATTTCTGATTGATAATAAATTTCTAAAGCTGCTTAAGTTTATAGAATTTAACAAATTTCTGATTGGTCATCCGACTGCGCATGAAACACCACCCGTGTGAAGCTGGCCCCTCAATATTAAAAAATCGATTTTTTTTCTTCACGCATTCGTTTGCTCACCCTTAGTTCACAAGATTTGTGAACAAACGATGAGCAAACGAATGCATGAAGAAAAAAATCGATTTTTTAATTCGATACCAAAACTTAATTTTCTTGTATCTCTTTTGAACTAAGGGTGAGCAAACGAAAATTCCAACTGAGCATTCGTGAGCAAACGATGAGCAAACGAATGCATGAAGAAAAAAATCGATTTTTTAATATTGGGGGGCCAGTTTCACATGGGTTGAAACACCTAGTATTCTTACATCACGGCAATTATTATAACTTAACTATAATTTACAGTCATTTTTGGAACAACCATATAAATACCAAAAATTTTTCTCTTAGTATATAATTTAATTACACATACATTTTAACATTGATAAATAAACTTAATTAAAATTAATTAAATCAGGATTAAGTAATTACTACTTTCTTTGGCTTCTCTTGGATCACCGCGATATAATAAATCATCTATTAATTTGATATTACGATTTGCAGTTTTCTGAAGTGGCTGTTAATATTAGGAGGGATAGGCCTGGGCGGCGGAACCGGATATTTATACTATAAGAATCGTGATAGCGGCAAATTAGATATCACAAAAGTTACTCCGAAGACTAGCGGGGACGACAACAAAAAGGAGAAGAGCTGGCCACCTGGGATGAACATCAGCACGATACAAGCAGCGTCGGTACCGTCTAGTCTCGACAGAAATTGAACACTATTAGCGCGAAAGGCTAATATAAATATTAACGTCGAGAAAGTCCATCTCCCTTCAGTCCCAAACATTTTTCTTAAACTAAAATTATTATTATTGTATATAGGTGATCAGGCTTTTTCAAATACGACGAAGGACAAAGGTGTTCCGAAAAGTATAGGATAATAAACAGTCCTCTTTTATAAAAATAAAATAAGAATTTAATGTAGCGGCATTAAGTGACTGAAGGACTAAAAGAGTTGAAGTTATTATGATAAATATGTATGATAAACTGTTATGGCAATAATGTTATTGTCAAGCATATCTGGAGCTGATATTTTAGCTCAGATCTACCAAAGATATAACATAACAGATAAATACGGTTTTTCTTTAAAAACAATTAAACTCAAGAATATATTGATAAGGATATAGATAAGACTCAATGCGTCATGTGAAACATAATTGAAATTAATTATTTAACTACCTCGTTGTAAGAATGTTATTAAGCTCTCATTTTGTAATGCACTTGTAATAATTGTACACTGTACAGTATAAATCAGCAGTTCTTAACCTTCATTTCGGTTTCGTAAATCAATTATGTAAATATATTTGAAGATTTTTCAAACTTTATGAGAATTTTATAAAACACTTTTTATACCATTAATGAGTTTTGGTTTTATTATATAGGAATTCGGTATGTAAAGCTATAGAAGGCTAAGGACTGCTGACAACAGACATACATAATTAGTTATTCTTAATAAAAACAAACCGTTTAGATTTAGATCAGATTTCGATTATCTAATAGATTATCAAAATTACAAAAATACAACTACTACTATTAATTATCCGACTAGATACGAAACGAGTAAAAACCGAATACTATTAAAGAAATAATATATTTATCTAACTTTGTCGAAATAAGTGAAAATATTTTTAAACTATTAAAACTAAAAGACTAGACTTACACGGTTATTCTAATAGATAAATAAATTTTCACTACTCAAGTGTGTGGTGTCATTAATTTTCGAAGACAACACTATCTATGAAAAGAAAAACATCGACAAGCATCAATAAAAATTCTCAAATTGTAAACAAATGCATTAAATAACAGATATAAATTATACATTGTTCATACATGTTCTTCATAATTATTTATATTCAGACGTTCAACTGAGCATGAGTTCATCAGTAGACCCAGCAACTTCCTTCTGCTTATTTCCAGTTCATCTTTTACATAGCAACACCTGTCTATACGCACTCCTGTACTCGGAACTCATCACAACGTAGATAACAGGATTGATACAGGTCGTGAGATAGATGAGTATGTAGCCGGCGATGTTGAGGCCCCACCAGTCCTGGAAGACCGCGTCCTGGAGAAGCTTCGTGACGGTAATTGGCAGGTAGCATACTAGAAATGACACGAATATCACGAGGATCATCTGCAACAGCTTCCGATCTTTGACGGACATCCTGGGTGTAGCGTACTCGTTACACATTCTGCCAACAGTCATAAACTTCGACTGTCTACGAAATCCCTTTTTTGCACAGGACTCGCTAATTTCGAGAGGTCTCGAATCTAATTGGTCTAAGCGTTCGCCACCGGCGATCTTTTGCAGCGAAGATTCCACCATGAATGATGCTCGACCAGTCAACCTCCCCAGCCGACCGTAAGGGTTTCCCGTCGATTTCTGTTGCAGCTCGCACTGGTTCCGATTAAAAAACAGTCTCGTTTCTGTGAAGTCCGATTTTTCGATTGCACGTTCATCCATGAATGGTACATTCTCCGATAGGCTGGTTTCAGAACCGTTGGACTGCGCAATATTTGTGATTTGATCATTCGTTTTTTGTTCGTGGATCAGCTGTTTAGACGATGATGAGTCTTCATTGGCGGATGTGGATGGTAGTTCGAGATTCTTTCCTTCGTTTGGGTTAAAAAGAACCGCTTGCATCGATGAGAAAGGAACATAGAGGACAGAGAGCTCTTGCTCATGGTTTTTCGTAGCAGATGATTGCTGTAAAGATAAAACGATAAATTAAGATTCAATTAATGATTAAAAGAAAGCAATTATATTTTTTGATAAATTAAGTAAAAGATTAAATTTGTCAAAATTTTTCTCTAGTTATTATTTTATTATAGCTATTTTATTAGTTTCTTTACAATTTTATTAATTATCTTTTTATAATAAATTCGAATTTTTAATATTTTATTTATTTTTATTTATTTAATTTAAAGTATACAAATTCAAAAATCTGTCGTGTGTCATGTATGTATATACTTTTTTAAATAAAGTGTGCACAGAGAGATAGAAATAATCAGCTTTTTTTTATTCTTTTAAATGTATTTTCTGCGATTTATGTTTTCTTTTTAGTTACATATTTTCCCTTTTTCTTTGTTATAGAAATAAATAGATCTTACGTCATGGCTAGTTTCCGTCGGTTCTACGTTGAAAATCTTCACTCTGCCTCTGCTCTTCGAAGCAGTTTCGCGAACAATGTAGAAAATCCTAGCATAGCAAACGATAATAGCGAGGCAGGGTATTAAAAATGCGAGAACGAAAAGGAACTCTTTTGGACTCCGTCCGTTTATGTCCGGTAGAATCGTACAGGATCCAATAGCAGGATCCAATCCAAAACGTCCGAATCGTTCGAACCACGTGACGATCAGCAAGCCAAAAGCAATAATCCATATTGCCAAAATCATCGGTACTAGGAACTTCGTTTTATACAACCTTTGAATAACATTCATTACTTCGTAATATAATTAAGGAAATCATTTCTTAAATAAAAATTAAAAAATTTAAATTAGAAAAGGTTTTTAAATCAAGGTTTGGCTTTTAAAAAAAATTGATTTCTTGAGAAATCCACATATATATTTTATTTTTCAATTATTATTTTAATCATTTTATTTATTTACTTTATTAGCTTTTACAGGTTCAATAATCATTTAATATTATGTGATTTATTAATAAAAGATATGAAAAATAAAATATTTGTACAGAATGATGAGCTACTTACGTAGGATAAAGACCGGGATGACCGATCATGACATAGCGATTGATTGTGATCGCGAGAACGCTGAAGAGGCTGACTGCAACGAGGCCGTACCTCAAGAGCGGAAACAGCCGACACAGAAGTGGTCCGTGCAGCCACGACCTATGCCAGAACGTTGAAGTTGCGAGTGGTAGATTGAAACAGCAAAACATCAAGTCTGATACCGAGAGATTCATAATGAAGACCGCGGTAGCGTTTTTAAGCTGTAATAAAATTGTAAAAAATTGTAGAACTTCATATCAAAACAAAATTAATATTAAAAATTAAAATTAAATTACAAAAATATTTTCTTACAAAATATGATACAATAAAAATAAATAATTATTATTTAATTATTAACTACCCGGCTGTTATTGGCCTAAATTACTTTTTAAAATTTGTCCGGAATTTATAAATTATAATAAGAGAGGTTGGAAATAAGACCTTTTATGTGAGTCACCTAAATTCGGGAAGAGCCAATATGTTGAACTAATGCGCATATATATATTCTTCAAATTAATTTATTTTAGAATTATAAATTATTATGATTACTTCATTGTTGTGCGTGATTACAGCAAGTTTGATAATACACGGATAATAACAAAGAAATCGTTGACGTAAAAGTTAATTTACGAAATTATCGAATAAGCTCTCTCAAATTTCTCGAAGTAAACACGATAAAATTATGGAGACTTCTCGATTTGATTCCAGTTGATTATATCGGAATGGAGTACGTGAACCTTCGTGAAAACATATGATTGTATATGCGGGCGGTTCCGCGTAATCGATTCCAAACTTAACTCATTGACTTTGGTGGGAAGCTTAACCATAAAATCGTGCCGACGACCTCTGTTTTAACTTTATCGTCAACAATAATCGACGACGTTTTTTAATATAACAAATATATTAGAAATAAAATACGTTCTACTAAATAATAAAAGATTTATTTTATATTTTGAAATTTCCAAAAATTTATGCTTTAAAAATAAAATAGGTAAATATTTGAGTATGAAGGAGAAAAAAATTAAAATGGCAATAAAAAATTAGTAAGTAGGGGGGGATTAATAAAAATAAAAATTATATAATACAAAATCTTATAAAATAAAATCGTCAAGAATATTAAACCGAGAAACATTCTGTATAGTTTAACGCCATCCCAGCTTGAATTAATACCTTGTAAGACTGAAGAAGCATAATGACTCGAGGTAAACCACTCAGATGGCTTTTGAAATTTCTGCATGTAAGCAATGCCGGAAACTTGAGTGTTACTTACGTAATACGGATTCATTATAAAGTCTTTATGAACACGACTCGGAAAAATTGTTACAATGAGTAGCACAAAACAATTCACAAATAAAAATGTATTATTTGTTATTTATATTAAGCATTTGAGAATATTTATCTTTTAGAGAGAAATTATATTATTACTATTATTATTATAATTATATTACTATATTTTTTTTTGAATTATCTTCTTTCTACGAATTATCATCGTTTCTTGCAACACTATACGTTCAAAACGTGCGAAATTTATCTATATCGACAGATCTACTAATCGATATAGATTTTTAGCTTGAGCTGCGTTTAGATGCTTTTACCCTACTCGTACCATATTTACTTTTTATCATTATCTTACATTATTTTTTATACAGAATGACATAGGATTACAGTTACAGTTACCTTTTTAGTGCGAAATAATGCGATCACCGTAATGAGATTTCCCGGAATGCCGATCAGCATGAAGAGGATGCAGCAGGCGGCGGCGAAGCACAGCAACCACCGTGGATAGTCAACGAAGAGGATCACTGATCCCGGATCCTGCAGCATCTTCTCGGTTACTACGTCGCCGCTGCTGTTGCGTCCGGTTTCGTTGCTCGTCATCCACCAGTATTTCAGCATCTGCAAAAGACGAAACTCTCACCGAGTACGTCTACGGATGTCGTGTCAGGGCCATAAATAGAGTCTTTGACACTTTACATTCCGCCGGATATTTTATTTATCTTGCTACTTTTAGGAGGAGAATCCTCCAAAATAATAATTAACAGCTCTTTATGAATTATTATTATAAATAATCTACATATTTTATCTATCACAAGAGATTACAGAATGTAATAGAATGATTTAAACAATTATAATTACCTATTCTATATTCTATAAAACTTTTAGAGTGAATCTTATTTAGAAGAGTAGAATCTCATCTTAAAAAATAAAGCCTTTTTTCTAAACTGATTTAATTTTCACTCTGTAGAGTTAGATGTCACTCTAAAAATTTAGAGAGTAGTAATTATTATTGCGTTATGATTAAGCGACATTTTGTCACCTTTGCACAAATTATGCATTATTATATATTTTATTGTGTAATTATGGTTTTGTACATTATTGTGTAATTAAGGAAGTGTTCTCGGCGAGACATGTCCTCAAGAATATACATATAGTTCTGGTTTGGAACTGTAAGTGTTCTTTTTTTCTTAATTCTTCGTTGTGTTGTACACGATCTCGTTTAACGACCGACACGTGTTTTGTCGTTTCAGAGGCGTGAATTTTGTACGCCATTCGCGAATGTCTATGTGTTGGACCCAGCACGCCTCTTTTTTCTCCCATCGGTGCCAGTGCGTCGGAAAGGAACAGAGAGATCTATTTTCGCAACCTGAGACGATAAACTCTTTCGCGGGAGAGTAAACTCTCAGACGTTTCTATGGTCCAAACCGGCCTCGCGCGACCTGTAGCCTCGCAGAGTATCGATGGTCAGTTCATACAGTCCGCATAGTCGCGAATCATTGCCGATAGACATATGAATTTTCACACGCAAATTAAATCACTTTCATTAGGTGCGCATTGGAATGAGTGAACAAAAACATAATATGAAACATTGAAAATTGAAAACACGTTGCCTGTTTTTTATCAATAAACTTTCTGAATTGATATGCACCTCAAGAAACATAAAAATTAATAAAAAATCAAATTGATTTTATTCTGATTCTTCACGTCAATAAACAAGTCGAATTTTGAAATGAAAGAATCATCATTTTGATTTTCATGACGTCAAAATAAAGTGACTTTGACTTCTTCATTTGATGTCTTCGTGTGTGTTTCAATTTAGAGATTTCATCGATAAAGAACGAACCCACAATGTAAATATTTTAATGAGATTTACTTTCAACAAAGAATTGTTTCAAGTAGAAATTCCAAATTTCTATTCTGTTTCTCGGCATTGTACGCTTACCTTTGCGAAAATAAAAAACACTGAATCTGATTCATCGACAGCGATGATTACCGATAGTGATTTGAGATCTTCGTAGTGATCTCATCTCGTTCTTTTCGAAACCAGGATGACGTTTGTCATATCTTCGATTTATTCTTCGTCTTGCCGGTTCTCATCGTAACTTTGGCATTGCAGACTCGAGTGGTTTTTTCTGGAAAATTATAGATTTCGTCTGATTTGTTGCAATTTCTTGATATTATCGATATGATATATATTTATGATATCGAGAAAATCTGCTTATGGTTATTCAAATTTATTTGCTAAATTTGCACAACAGGGACGTACAAAAAGCAGGAACAGAATTAACAAATCGTGCGAACGAAGTGGATCTCGTAAAATTCACGAATGGACTGGCGGAATTATTAGCAAGAATCAGAGTGTATACAAGAGTATGCACTTTTCACGGATGCTGCGCTTGCGCCAAATTCGACTCCTCCTTTTATTCCTCTGTTTTCGAGATAATTTTCTTTTGGAAACCGATTTGATAACTGGAAGACGTTTCTTTGAGACGTATCATCTTTTACTTATTATGATAGAAATTTTTTGCGACATATCTTAATGTAATTTGAGGGATAATTAACTGTGTTTTTATAAAATAAAATTTATAAAAATATAAGACAAGCACCGAATGAGGGTACCGAGCGTCAATCTTATTACAAACAATTTATTTTACAAATCGAGATGTTACGTGCGGTCGACGACGTGAAAGTGGTAAAACGGTGCCAGCCAGCCCCATGTCGCCGATATGCCACTTGTGGTAAAGCACCTATATGCCTGATACCGTCCCCTGAAAACGAGAGCGTCCCTACATCCTTTTTAAAAATAATTGCATTTTGTTAGTAGTGGGAGTGATGGGGAGAACCTTCCAGCTGCGCACGAACGATCGCGAGCGGAAGCGAGCGAGTCGGAAGTGCGTTTCCCCATTTCGCTGCTTATCCGAGTTCTGAGAATCACTGAAATCTCCGGCTATACGAAAGTATATACATTGGAAAAAATGTACTGAATTTTAATTAATATTTCTTTGGATAGTATATTAACTAAATATTTACTTAATGTAAACATGTATTTATTTAATACAAAAATCATTATTTATTAATGCCTTAAGTATAATAATAAAAGAAATTAATTAGATGACTTTTCTCTCATTTTGATTTTATCATATTGTTTTTCAGTAAAACATTTTATGAGTAAATTTATTTAAAATAAATTGTCTCTGTACACGAAATTTGTGCCTTGTGTTTTTTCTTATATATATATATATATATATTACACATTCTTGATTAATTAAAAATTAATCTTTCTATATCACATGAAATTTAATTGTTAATAATTCCTCAATCTCTACAATAATTTCTCTGCTTTGTGATGATTGATATTTTTAATCTATTATCTTGCGTATATGTTTATTATTTGCCGGAAGGGCATCCGGCAAATCTAGGACGCTGTACACAAACGTATTATTAATATTGTATCTATACATGGATTGATTGTTATATTTGACATAAATAGATTACATCAGTATAATATCAATCTTTTCTTACATAGAATACATCTTGAATACAGATTAGAAAAGTCAGAATTTTGGACTACAGAACTAATTCTGGACAACCATAACTGGATGCGGGTCGTCTTTGTGCCTCGTGAAACTAACGAGACGTTCGATTAGTCATACCAATTAATGCTGTCGGTCGGTTCCACTTCGTTAGGTTTAATTCACTCTCCTCGCCGTGTCTTCAGTTTCTTACGTAATAAACGCGCTCACTTAACAAAGAGTAGCGATCTTAGATATCAGTTAACAGCGAGTAAATCCGCAGTTATTCGAGTATGAATCCTCACATAAATTTGATACCAAATATGGTTTACCGTTAGCTTATATGTATATAATATTGCGGTTTGTACTTATCATCGCGAGATAGTTAATTTTTGGTGGGGCAACTAATCCTCTGTTTCAGTTTTATTTAATATATATCTTTTAAAGAGAATACCTTTTTACAAATTTTCTTATAAAATATCACGTTTAAACATAATAAAAAATGGATAAAATTATTATATCATTTCATATAAATTATAAATTTAATTTATACGTCGTGTATTTGATATAGTATTTCATTGTTCGCAATTATTAACATTCTTGTTATTATATATCTCTACATATCCGCGTATGACTCATGAGTCTCACGAATTCCTTTTCCTTCTTCTAAGGATATTTGTACATTGACTGTCTTGTAATTAATCAAGACAGAAATAAAAATTGTGTCAAAGTAAGATAAGAAACTTTTGAATTTCTTATTCGCGATAAAGAAACTGAAGGTGAACATTTTTTTATACTGCGATATTTTTTTAAATTATTTCATATAAAGACAGCTTTGCAAAACGATTAATCGATCAAGATTTGTAATTTACATCGACCTAATTAAACGAAAGAAAACGATATATCGCAGTTGCAGCACATTCCGTGCAATTTAAAAAAAAAAAAAAAGAAAAACAGGCCGATGTGTCACAGCGAAAGGGTCAACTGGATCTCGCTCCTTCCCCGCCAGGGTCTTGGCTGCAGATGTGCCATGGCAGTGCACACCGAGCTATACGTTCGTCATCGAGTCCACACCGAGCCGCTCCCCCGCAACTCCCTCTCCTCTGTCACATCTTTTCTTCCTACTCCTGCGATCGCCCTACTCGCGGGGCCCGTATCTAGCGTGTGTACAATCTGACGGAATGCTGGGTAAGCAGCAGTCCATTCACGGTGACGCTGACGCATACACAGTGCCCGAGCAACACCGGTGGTTCACGCCGGTGGTCCCCGAGTCGGCCCGGTCCCCGTATAGAATCCATTGAACGCAATCAAATTCGCGAGTCGTCCGGATTACAACGAGCGAAGCGGAGATAGTATCCGTTAAAGAAGAAAACATTTTAAGATAGTTAAAAATAAAATTAGGAATAAAATCTATTTAATTGGAACAAGTGCATTCCTACGAATGATAACAAGTGGGACCAGATTTCGAGGAAAAGAATGTGAAATGGGCTCCGTGAAAATCAGTTGAAAATATAGCGAAGTGAAGTTTCCCATGAAGAAACTGAGGAAACAATTAGAACGGAAGAGAAAAGGAAATATTCGATTAATACGTATATCGAATCGACAAGTTAATTGACATCAAATCAAATTTGTACTAGTCAGCTATTAAAGAAGAATGATAACCGAGAGGAAAATCGTTGCATGTCTTGAATCGCTCCTATATAATTAATTCTCTAACGTATCATGAAGTGACTTTTAATCACCTCTTATGAGGACATAGGCGAGGACGCACTGAAGAGGAAGGCTGTTGTTGAATCGAAAATTCCTGTCATATCCTTCAGTCAACAAAAGTCAACATTTTTCACTGATTACCTGGCTCGATGACTAACTTATGGCTGGTTTAATATAAGAATAGCTAACGAACGGTAAGTGATGAAATATATTCTAATTTATTTCCACGTATTATATATTCATCTCTTTCTCATCAACTTTTACAGCATATCAATTCACGGTATATTAGCTTAATTAATGATTAAAGTCACATTTCACGAAACGTAACCGATTTCCGTAATTCAATTGCATAAAGTCTCATCTTAAAGAAAGATGAAATAAGATAATTGCTTGCATATTCGATTAAGTGATTCTTTAAAAAAAATGATATTTTACTTGATCGTAATCGTGGTTTTCACTCGCGTGAGTCCTTTCGGTCTCAAGGGCGGCGTTGGTCTGCGATCTTGTGGGACCAATGCCGAGAACCGGGCAAAAAAGCGTGGCGAGTTGATGGTCCCGAGGGGCAATTTAGAAACGTGACGTGGAGAGAATTATGACGCTTGGTGTAGTGTTCAATTAGCTGGGTCGTACCGAAAGTTAATGCGAAAATGGATCTTCAAGCAATTATAAATGAGTGTACGAATACTTATTCAACACAATTATACAAATTCCGAGAAGATGATTAATATTTCATAAATAATAATTAACACTTCATAAAAAATATTGTAGATTTTTAAAAACCTTTAATCTTCATAGATCACACATTATTACTTACTTATCCACATTTGCAATTTATATAAATTTTTTTTATAAATTAAAAATCTGTAAATATCTGTGTACTTATGTAAAAAATAATAATTATGAGAAAACGTTTTAAATCAGTCAGCATGGGTATTTTAATGTCACCCGGAGTATAACATATTTGGCGCTAAATGTACGGTATGAATAGCATGACACATGTTTTGTGTCGTACGTGTAGACATTTGACATCCACACCACGTGGTGATCTCGTGGGCGAGAGTTGTCGCGACTCGATTGACTTCCAACAATTCTGTACTCAACTCATGCGCATATACCTTTTTGCACCTTCGGTATTTATCACGAGATTATATCGTTGAAACAACATAAAAAGCATTTTGCATACATAATAAACTACTTACTCGGTTTTATATAATGCTGCAGAAAAGAATTAAAGTATAATAATTATCCAAGGAATACACAAAAATTTAAATAAAACTTTATTTTTATTCTCGATAAACGGTCAAATTTTCTATGCGTAGATTGTCATTTTAATTTTTATGATATTGAGATAAATTAAAATAAATTATAATTGTAAGCCAATGGAAACCGACTCTAAATGGTAAACTTGCAAATATACATATTATTGACCATAACTAACAATCAATGAAATAAAGTGATTTTGACTTTTTCTTATTGATTTGACATGTTCCTCAGATACTTATAATCTCGGCATATTGCATTGATGTTTATTAGCATTTATTAGCTATTAAAATGCATGATTGAGCTAATTAGTGATATTAATTTTAGTTTTAGTTTACAGTTGCTACAGTTTATAAAAAAAACTGAAATAATATATTTATAAAAATTTGCTTATTATTAATCAAGATCCGCTTTAATTGATAACAGGATTATTTCTATTTACTCTCATATCGGTCTAATTTCGATTTATATAATTATTAATAATTTTGCATAAGTGCAGTTTGTTCAATTAAATATTCCCTTCAAATAAAGTTGTGACTAAGCATTTAGAAGCGATGATATTGGCGTGTTATTCGATGTTAATTTATATCGGAGGAGGTAAATCAGCGAGTCCCAATCCGAAGTATGACACGAGTAGCTGATATAATCTTCTGATAAACGTAAATCCACGTGCAAGATTTAATCGCGCCTCTGATCTGCGAGGTGCAACGAGACGCGGATTGACGACGCATCGACGACTCGCGCCGACTCGGTCTATGTACTTTCACCGTGACTCAACTTGACTCATTCATTGCCGTTCGCCGTATGATTAACACGGAAATCATTCAATGACGTCAATTCGTCGCCGAGGACTTCCACAGAACAAAAAATAATTCGCGGTTTTACGCCGCGTCTTCCTGTCAACGACGGACCGATTGAGTCTCGCTTATCGAATCAAATTTATTGCGTAATTGATACCAAAGTCAAATACACGTACGCACCTATTTCGAAATCAAATATCTGCCATCCGATTAAGACTATTCAACTGTACGATGCGTTGCCCAATACAATTATATCTTTTATAGTAATAAAAAAAATTAATGAGCTTTTAATGTTAATCTAATAAAAAAAAATTTCCATCGCAATAATCACCAATGCAGATTTTCCGCTCATATTATTTAAATGATGGCAATTGTTTAACTTGATACAAACAAAAGTCACATTTAAAAATAATTTCTTGCGTAAATTTGAAGTTTTAATTTTTTAAATTAATTTTTCTTATTAGATTTGATCTTTTTTGTCTTATAATTGTATATATTTTCAGTTTCCCCGAAAATTTCTTCTGATAATAATTTAGTGCGGTTACGATAATATCAAATATCTCGGCAAAATATATAAAAACGAGATAGCGACGGTGAAGTCAACGCGACGCGTTAATGCGTTCCCATGTCTTCCGTGGCTTTCATCGCTTTTTTTTGTCGCGAGGGGACGCCTAGTACCGGGTGTCCGTTAATTTCCCTTAATTAAGCTCAATCGGGGTTAATGCACCGCAGCTTGACCCTAGTTTACCAAATCTAACGCACCCTCAGCAACTATGCATTTACACATAGATCGTAATCGCTAATCGATAAAAGGGATTACTCGCGATTCTCCATCGCGATTCTCCATCGCGATATGTACATACTTTTCAAATCTACAGAAGATTTCTTATAAATTTATTAAAAATGCCTTGAACTATAACATATTTATATTATAATGGAATTACAATATAAAAATTTTTAATGTAATTTTTTATGTACTTTTATGATTTTTTTTACATTTAATTAATAAAATATATTTATGAATAATATAAAATTAATTTAGATAGATAATTTGAGGAAACATAGCAATGACAATATCATCACTTGAAAGTAATTATTCGAATTGAAAAAATTAATACGTGCCTATTGCGAGTTTGTAATATCAAGTCGTTACACATGTTTCAATAACACAAGTGACTCATGTATCGGTGACCCGCAGTCATTAGTAAACTTAGTTACTTAGCATGGCTGTAATCGAACGGTCGGAAACAGAATAAGAAAGATAAATCGCACTTATAGATTCTTAAGTGTATTAACCGTTATGTGAATTTGAATGCTGAAAAGGTGACGTGAAACATTTTAACTGAAACTTGTTACTTTATTAATTAGTATTCAATTGTCATTTAAAAAAACAGACATTCCTCCTAGCGATTATTAACGATCGTAATTATTGAAAAAACATAGCACGTGGCAAATATAATCGCAGCAAGAAATAGCTTGATGGGATTATAATTATATGAAATTTGGGATTAATTTCGATAATTTGGAATATCAAGGAAACATTTAACTTTATCTTCAATTAAGTGTGAGATATTCTCAGTGTGATATTGATACATGAAGAATAGAGAATTATAGTGGTGTCGTTTATTGTGAGAGTCTCGCATTGTCCTTCGTAAATTCTCCGGACGACCCATTTCCGTCGGTGGCGCCCTTCGTCATAAGCTCATAAATAACAATAAATTCTTGTCTTTCCAAACGTAAGATTGTTCTCCAACCGTTGTCTACGTCGGAGAATTATTTTAATGCGCAGAATCGCACGCGCGGAATTTGCATAACGCAAATGTCAAGCGTCCCACACGTCTTCAGACAATCGTTTTTGTGATTCGCTCACTTAGAGCCTTCAGTATCTCTAACGATAAGAATAGGTATTCCTTCGAGATAGAAAATGAGACTTATTGAAAGAAAACAGGAATAAAAAAGGACAGAAATTTAACTGCATACAAAGAAACAAATAAGTATATAGCATATATCACGTTATTAAATTCTTTTTATATTTACTGATAATAATTATATTTTTAATGATAAGCTTGATGCATTTTTATTTAAAAAATTATTAAAGTTCTTAATGAGTTTTACTTTTTATAAATAAATCTTATAAAGATCGATATATCAATTTGAAATATTTATAATACGTAATTTAAATATTTTTAAGAGTTTCGGGATTTCATGCTCTTGCGAATCTTGTTGAACTACAATAAAATAAATGATTAATTCGCTACATTTCGCTGCTGCATTTCATGAAACAGTTTTGAAATAAATGCGTCGTGTTACATCCGCTTTGCGTCAGACTTGCGCTTCAAACAAGTGTGTCGCGTCGTACCGGAATTTTAGATCGCGGTTTGTACTGGGAATCCTATATATGTCTGTTTTTTTATACGCCTCACCGTAATGTCACTATTCCCTGGCATTCGCTAATCATTGCTAATTACGAAAAAAAAATAATAATATTAATATTCGTTAGATAACAAGATATCGGTCTATAAGTCTATAAGATATTCCAGTTTTGTTGTTTTCGCTAAAATGTACGTGTTTTAAACTACTGACAATTAGTCATTCGCTTTAGTCATGCGTTACGCTGCGTTCAGACGATACTGTAATTTCGCCTTATGTCCATTCTCATATATTCAATCAATTTTTCTTCCACTGTTTTATCATCTTTCTCGCAAAATGCGTGAATACGTTCCCCATTATTTATTATTCCTCTTGCCTTCATAAAAGATTTAGTAGAAAATATATTGGATAAAAAACTATAGTTTATTTCACTCCAACCTATTGCACTAGTTCAAAACTCTTTGAAAAAAGAAACAGATCTAATTATATCTATATCTCTCCATGCAGATTTCTTTATGTAATTCTTATATATAATTCTTTCTTTATAAACGTTCAATGTTTTATTCCATATCGGAATTAAATCTTCCTTTTATTAAAAACATATTAAAATTTCTGTATTTATATATCCTCCACCGCGTAAAGAAACAATATAAGGGGCTGCGTAGAATAAAAAGAACAGGGAACAGAGAACAGAAAATAAGAATTTTAACCTATCAGAAATCATATGCTGTGGAATAAACAGTGTATATTCCACAGTATATGATTTCTGATAGGTTGAAATTCTTATTCTCTGTTCCTTTTATTCTGCGTAGCCCCTAATATTGTATAACACAATACGTGTAGGTCAGCTGGGACGCTACGTTAAACAGCTGACTGGAGTTCTACGATAGAAAAGCCTGATTGATAGGAAACCGTGTCATTTAAACGGCACCTTTAAGGAGATACGCAAGTCGAATATTTAATTCCGTTCTTCCGTTCGTGAATATTGCAGGCCTTCGAGGTCAGGTTAATTCGGAATGGAATTGCTAGATCAGAACCTCGACACCTTCGGCACGGCCGGAGTAATGGACGGCACGGACACGTGGTTGCCGCGTATTATGGGCAATGCCACGCACAGCACCATCGTCGACGAGGAAATATCGAGGTACGTCGTTCTATTTAAGAGCAATATGTATCCAGTATCTAGAGAGAACCTCTAATTCTCTTTGACTTGGAATCGGCTTTATTTCAACAGAATTGTGGAATTAGATTGTAAATTAATTGTGCGAATTAAATTTGAAATAATGCAAATGATCTTGATTTTTATTTCAAACTTGTGAAATTTATGTGTGATTAATTTTGAATTTAAATCAATCATTGATTTAAAAAAATTTTCTAAAATTATTTATTATTACCTTATACTTAATTATATGTTAATTATACGTATAATTATTACTTATTAATGTATATAATATAGTTACGATGTTGAGAAATGGTTATTTTATGATTGCTTTATCTGCCGCAGATTTCCAAAGCCTTTGAGGACTTTTGCGGCGGTAGTGGCAATGATCATCATGATTATCGGTTTAGCCGGTAATCTACTAACGATCGTTGCGTTATGTAAATATCCTAAAGTTCGCAATGTTGCAGCGGCTTTTATTATAAGGTATGATAAACAAGTTTACATACGTGACTCAAAATTATTTATTTATGAAACTTCATAAATAGCTTGTTCACACACATATTGAAAAAGCTTTTGTACGACGTATTTATAGTATTGTGTTCATGATTACCTCGCACAAATACATCGCATCACTTTAAAAGAAATTGGCTTCTAAATTCTAGCATTTTTTCAAACGCGACTTTCTCAAACGTTTACGTCGATTAAAATGAAATTTTTATTACTGGAACAGCTTATGCATTGCGGACTTTGTGTTCTGTCTGCTGGTGCTGCCATTTGATTCTATCAGATTCGTCAACGCCAGTTGGGCAGACGTTCGATTCTTCTGCGTCTTTGTGCCCTTTTTGCGATACGGAAATGTCGGGGTCAGTCTCCTGTCTGTCGCAGCAATCACTATCAATAGGTTCGTGTACTTTTTTTTATCTTCTTAGCTTTTTAAAGTCGAACTGCCTGATCCAGCTAAAAATGTTTTTCGATTTGATTGAGTTTCAGAAACTCTATTATTTGTAATTCAATCTTTTGGTTTTGTAGATATATTATGATAGCGCATCACGCTATTTATAACAAGGTTTACACGAAATATTGGATAGCCACGATGATAATCTTTTGCTGGATCTTCTCTTACGGGATGCAAATACCTACACTGACAGGAGTGTGGGGTAAGTTGTTATTTTAGTTATTATTTAATTATTCATAACTGGAGAAATAATTCAACGGTATATAAAAACTTGCTGAAAAATAATAAAGTTACAAATTTTTTAAAGATTAATAAAAAATATTATTTGGTAGAATATTTAATAAGACTGTTATATTGAATTTTTAATATACTGACATAAAGATAATTTTTCGTAATTAAATGAAAAATTAAAAATATTATATTTCTGCCTTATATGTAAATATTTTTTATTATTATATTAAATATATTTTTTAAGTACACATATTTATTACATTTTACTTTATTATTCATCATTTATTTATCAGGTAAATTTGATTACGATCCTAATCTGGAGACCTGCTCCATCGTCAAAGATCATCGTGGTTACACTTCCAAGACATTCCTTTTTGTTATGGGATTTCTAATACCTTGTTTAGTAATCGTCGGCTGTTACGCCAAGATATTTTGGGTGGTGCACAAGTAATTTGACATTTCCGACGTTTATTACATAAATAATATTCATCGTTGCATCGATTGTACTACATATTAATCAAAATCTAATCACTATTGCAGATCAGAATCGCGATTGCGGAAACATGCTGGACCAACGATAAAGTCTCCGCATACGCCCGGAAGGGATATCAGGGAACTCAAACAAAAACGTAGCGAATGGAGGATTACAAAGATGGTATTAGTAATCTTTCTCAGCTTCCTCGCGTGTTACTTACCGATCACCATCGTCAAAGTGGCCGACGCGGAAGTCAGATGTCCCGGTAAGAATTATACTTCTAGCGCAAAAATTCAACTTACTCTTTCCAATTCCAGAATGAAAAGAGATAAAGAAGTAAGTTGAACTTCGGTTAAATAGTTAATTGTGAAACCGGGCCTTTATACTGTCTGGGTTTTTCAACGCACCTCCTTCACTGTTTCAGAATGTCACATTTTAGGATACTTGCTACTATACTTCGCTTCGTGCGTGAATCCAATCATCTACGTGATTATGAACAAGCAGTACAGACAAGCGTACGCTGGTGTGATCGGCTGCAAGTGGATAAGGGCGACCCTAACGCCGTACGGTAGCAGTGCACCGGGTGGTGCCGGCGGTCTTCAGGCCCATCAGCATGACTACGCCCAAGGTAACTTCGAGCAACGACACGCGGTAACGCTCACCAAGCTCTGACCGAGCGCGCGAGCCTAAGCGACCACTCGCTCACTTCGTAAGTCAAGGGCACCACAAGTTTGCTGCTTTCTGTTTTGATCGTCATTTTGGTACCGCTGAACAGCCTGTGTGTGTGTATATATACATGCGCTAACGTTATAATTAATCGCAACCCCTAATTACTGATTTTCCCTCTATGCTCGGCATGCTCTTAACTCCATTCTTCATAAAATCCTTACGAGCAAGCGTCGTCATATTGTCGCAGTCGTCGCCAGATGCTTCTGCACCTTCAATTATCGTTATAATATAATTAATTGTTAATAATGTGCTAACACACGAAATCCTCGAGTTTTTTTTTTTTTTATCGAAATTGGCTGAATTTACTATTGACTCAGTTTGCCTAAATGTAGTTCAGAGTCTGGTTCTAATCTACATCGCTAATTTTTAAATAATTAACTAACATTAAATTATATTAACATCTAGAATAAAATTACGGGATTTAATTTCTTTAGAAGAAAGTGTATTTTATCTTCTTATGATTTTTACGAGTTATAAGATATTATATAAATGTCATACAAAATAGCTTCGTTTAATTTCATTGTTCTTTAAATACATACTTTGCTTCAATAACATATATTATATTATTAGATTATACTAAATATAAATTTGTAATTATTTAAAAATAATTTGCTTTATTATCGTCTCTCTGTCAAGTGTTTGTATTTGTATATTCTATACAAAACTGCAAGTATTTTTTCATCGAAATACAATTGTACTTTATTTTTCTGCTAGACTACTCGAAGGACTTTAGCAAAACGATGGTCTCTACGGTCTCTATCGCTATGAATCCCGTGAGAAGTTCGCAATTCCAGGAGGAGCTGTGAGGCGTACGTCGAGAAAAATGAAAAAGACAAAAGATGTTTTCCTTTATAAAAAGAAGGAAAAAAACGGACGATTAGAAGAGATTGTTATTGATAACCGCACGTGCAATAGTTATCAAGTTAGGTCGTATAATTTTTTTTACCTCGTCTAATATAATAAGAAAATAAAATATTTATAATTTTTTTTTGTTAGAGAATGAAGTAATACGAATGTCAAATATGTTGCGCATGTTTTAATTTTTGAGACGTTTGCAGAATAATAAAAAAAACTATTCTTTTTGCTGGATAATGACTTTTACCAAAGATTGTCATGTGTCATTGTATTTTATAATAAAATATAAACTTTGCATTATTTTTTATTTACACGATTATTAATGTAATAATTATTAAGCGCAAATTATGATAAAAAGACTGTTGTAATAGTTTATGTAAGATTAAAATTATTTATAAAAATTTATTGCATTCTTTCATGCGTCATGTTTTGTGTAAGAAAGTACAATCTGTTTTCTAGGAAGGTTATAAATCTGTTTGCAGTTTAATATCAATAAGCCATGTGCTACGATTTTCAAATTTTAACAAATGATTTTTTTCTTTATAGAACTTAATTAATATCATTCTCCTATATTTCAAAGTGACAATTAAAAAAATTAAAATTTTCAGAAAAGAGAAAAAACTATTTTTTAACTTAGCAAATATCTCAAAGAATCTTGTTATTCGAGATATACAGATTCATATTTTCATTATATCGAATAAATATTTTAGCATTGTTTATTATTAAATCAAATTTAATAAATGTATTTTATTAGTTTACAATTTTATTCGTAAAAATATTAATTTATATAATTGAGCACAGGTTAAATTTCGCAAGATTTGGTTTATTGCCGAGTAAGCCACTTTTTGGGATTTTCAACCGTTATCAGTTCGATTTCTTCCGTTGTGAAGCCCTTGCTTATCATGGTTGGCACAACATTATTAGCGATATGAGAGTATCCGTGTCCACCAAAATGTATCTTAAAAGTAAAAAAAAGTGTTTTAACATGTCTAGACGTTAAGATCAGGAAAATGTTAATTTATCATATATAAAATTACATGAAGAATATTAGAGAAAATATTAGAGAGACGCGTACCAGGCGATGCTTGGTGTGTATATCGTGACTCATGAGAACTCGATCTAGTTTTTTCTCTTTCTTCAGCAGCGCAATACGTTTGACACGCTGTGCATCTGACAGAAAATCGATTAATGGATTCAGCTGATAGAAAGAGCATTCGGTACCGAACAGATCGAACTGGATATAACATTTGGTATCGTCAGCGAATTCCATGAGCTGCTCCTTTTTTATTAACGTACCTATCAAATTAATTTATTCAATCACAATGACACATTCGAATGGATATCTATCTAAATTAAAAGTTAAAAATTGATGAAAAAAGAAAAACTTGTGAATCTCTTACGATCGACGTGAGACATAATGGCCCTGCTCACATCTCCACCCGCCTCTTGATAGATCCTCATTATTTCCATGGGCGCAGATGCATTTCTTCCAGGATGAAAACTCACGGAGCAACGTAATTGAGCTTGGATCTCGGCAGTTGCGCAAATAGCACGTTTTTCAAAGTCTAATAGAAATATTTTATATTTATTTAATACATTTTACATAGGATACATACAGTGGCATGCAAAAATTTTCGGCCAATAACATTTTATATTTTATAAAAAAAAAATCTGATAAAATTGTAATCATTATCGGATGTTAGTACAAGATGTAAATAACGAAATCTTATACTAACAGCTATTATAATAATAATTTTATCAGGCTCTTTTTTATAAATTAAGGTACAAAATGTTACTGGCCGGAAACTTTTGCACGCCACTGTATTTTTATTTTAATATAATAATATATATAATATTTTGACAGAAGTTTTGCTGAAAATATAGAATAATTCGCAAATAATCGATAATAATTATGAAAAATATTCGGTAGCTATTGTCTAAGTACATACCTTCGATCGGCCAACTACTACCAACTTCTCCGATAAATCCTGCCTTTACTTCGGAACACTCTACACAACCCTCTTCCAATTCTTTGTATATTAAGTTGTACATTTCTTCTTTAGTCATACTAAGAGTCGATGCGTTTTGTGTGCTGGCTACGTAGTGACCTGTTTAAGTTGAGAAAATTTATAACAAATTAATATAATAATGTAATATATTTATATTACATTATTATATTAATTAATAACTTATTATGATTTTATAAATTATTTTTTATTACATACATATATATATATACTATATCAATGTAATAAAATAATATTATTATACATATAGTATACTATATATACCGGTTCCCGCAATCACATTAACTCCCAAGGACTGGCTGATGTTCTTCATTAAAGAAATATCACGTTTCAAACCATGACTACTGTTCTCCACGATAGTTCCGCCACCGGCCTCTTTAAATAATTCCACGTCTTTATAGACAGCTTTTGCCGCGTCATCACCATAAAGCTCCAAGTTGTATAAACTGCTATATCTGATGCAAAACAGTTTACATTTATCATCTTTAATATAATTTTTTTATCAATAAATTAATTTATTATTAAATTATTTATTTATTTATTATACGAAAATCCTTGTTTTATATGAAATGAACTATAGGTAACGTGATATTCA